TTATACCAGACTATTTTTTTTAATGGCTTCTATTCATTTGAAGTCATTCTGTACAGGAATAAGCCTCTTGTTAGAGCATTCTGTAATTATTGCTATGAAATATTTCACTGTATTTCAGTCTGGATGAGGAGAGTGATGCATGCAACTGAGGATCACACTAATCCATAGCATATCTATATTTAATATAAATACAAGTAAAACAGTGTAGACTTTTTCATATATAAAAATGTAACTTAAAATTAACTAAGGTTATGGTAGTCCTATTCCAGACAGGAATTGGACAGTACTCTACGGGACCCACCTCAACTAAGACAACCACCCTTACCTTGAGTAGTTTAGCATTATAATCTCTCAGCATTCAGTTATGTACAGTCAGGGATTCTCTTGAAAATTATATATTTAAAATATATTTTATTTAAACATGAAGAAAAAAAAGTTGTAACGTTCCTTATAAAAATGGTGTAAATATCTGACTGTGAGCATAGTGATAGGCAAACAGAAAAGCCATGCATACAAATAGGCAAAAAAGCATGACCTGACATTCCAGCCTGGAAGTTTCAACAGATGAGAAACTTTGATATATATTTGGAAATAAGGCAAAGGAAACAATTAAGTTTTAGTCAGAAGAAATGCAGAAATTGCTGGACAGTTCAGATACTTACATTAAGCAGCTTACTAGGAAAAGCACCCACAGAAAAAGCCTAAGGCTCTACAGAGACATGAGACAGACTTCTGCATTTATCACTGGATTAGATTACAAAGGTACTACTCCCAGAAGCCTAATTGCTTTCTAGTATTACCTGCCAGCTCAGAGGTGTCAAAAGGCATTTAAGATGGAGAACCCTCATTTGAATTCTCAAATACAATCCCTAAATACAAGGTGTTTTCTTCTGTTTACTGCAGTTTGACAGGGCAATTTTATTTTTCCAACCATAAATATTAATCAGTGTTCTATTTTCTTGATAGAAGATTCCATTTAGACTTCATTCAAACCTTCTGAAAGGTGACAACTAGTCTCCTACCTCCAGCACACAGGGAGAGTAAGCTTACACCAAAGAATTCTCCTTCCCTACGGCTTGATAGGCAAAAATCCTCCTGTCAGTACAATTAAAGCATTTATATCTTTCCTATAACCGCCTCTGCAGGTTATTCTAGCTGATAAGTCCTTGGGGCTAACTGCAAACCTAGGTTTCTTAGAGCAAGAGCAAATGTTCTAGTTCCATATGCTGCTGAGTAAAGGATGTGCCTCAAGCTCATTTAAGCCCCAAAAACTGGACAAAACATCTCAGCTGTGAATTTAACTTCATCCATTCTCCTGCTTGCCCTCCTGGACAGATCGCACCCTGTTGTAGTTGTTGGATTTGCAGCCCACATCTATCATAGATATGTTGCAATCAGGTACTGCATCCCAACTGCAGCCCACAAGAGGAAGATCTCACATTCACAGCTTTCTATCATCTGCTATGGAGAATTTGTCCCCTCCCCAACTGAGCCGGTGTGATGCTTCATTTGAAAGTTCTCTAAATTACACCTGTGAGGTTCTTGTCCCCCAGGAAAAAATACTTTTTAAAAAAGGTGTCTTTTTTAGTTTTGTTTTAGAGAGTACTTCAGATCTTTCTTCAAGAGCACCACAGACATCTGAATTACCACCCAGCATACAAAAGAAATCTCTGATTAAGCACAGAGAGAAACACAAAATCACAGAATCATTAAGACTGGAAAATACATTTAAGATCATTTAGTCGAACTGTGAGCTCATCCCCACCATGCCTATTACCTATGTCCCTCAGTGTCACATCCACATGGTTCTTGAATACTTCTAGGGATGGTGAATCCACTGTCTCCCTGGGCAGCCTATGCCACTGTCTCACCACTATTCCAGAGATTAAATTTTTCTTAATATCCAACCTGAACCTCTACTGCTTCAACTTGAGGCCATTACCTCTCAACCTATCGTTGTTACCTGTGAAAAAAGGCTGACCTCCACTACAACCACCTTTCAGGGAGTTGTGAAGAGCAATAAGGTCTCCCCTGAGCCTCCTCTTCGTCAGACCAAATAATCCCACATCTCTCAGCCACTCTCCATAAGACCCTTCATCAGCTTTGCTGTCCTTTGGGCACGTTCCATGATGTGAGCAGACGAGGACAGGAATGCCAATCAAGTACAAGAGCTGTTGTTGCAATCATCTTCCTCGAGTCCCTCCAGGCTGAAGTAAGCCCTGCCATGCTTGGAACAGCACTTTCTAAAAGTGAAAAGAGGAACAGCATTAGTCTTGAGAAGATCAGATCTAACTGGGTCATGTTAAGGGACATGCCTTAACCACGTATTTTTAGGTAACTAGTGTCAGAGTAAATTCACCCAACTGGAAACAGCTTTGAAAATAAGAATTTCCTCAAAGCTATCATATTAAATACAAATTCTCTTTTCCTAAATATAAATATATATTCATGTACACACACTTTTACAACAATTACAAAATAACCAAGCTTCAGGCAGACTCCTTGGTTTTACCTAATTGCATCAACCACCACACATGTATCTATAAAGCATTCTTCTTTATTTAAGTTAAACAATTTTTCAAGGATGGTTTCCATCTATAAAATGAACAAAGTACAAGCTCTGTACAGCAGACTTTTCAAACCAACTGAAAAAACAGTTTCCAAACTAAGTTTTGAAAATCTGCAAAACAAACAACATCACCATTCTTGCTCTGAAGATGGTAAGAAAAGTTCTCAGAAGACTCCATCACCATTTGCTTCAAGGGCTTTTAATTTATCTTTCACATGGGCCAATTTCCTAAATATTTTTATATCACAGTAATTAACTTTGGCACATTGTCATGTAAACATAACAAAAGGATAACACTTGTCTGTTCTCTCAAAGAAAAGTAATGCTGTCTTTAACATACATCTCCTGTACTAAAGCCCCTATGCACAGCATCCACGGGGCATTAGTGAAAATATTCCTACTTTATATGATACCAGTTGACATTAAAGTCTTGAGAGGTGGAATACATTTTTTTCTACCTCAGAGTTAAGAGGCCAATGTTCAGAGCTGCAACTTTTGATCTCAGTTGAGCACTATGTTTACTATGATCCTAGTTGCAAGTGGAAGTAACCACATAGAAGCTGAGTGCTTTCTCCTATATTCTGTTTTCCAAAACCTCAAGAACTGGTTTGCTGCTGAGCCCACATTTCAGCATTTATTCTCCAGAATATTCAGAAATCTACTGCTATGTTATGAACCATGTTCTTCAAGTTCTCAGCAAGGTTAAAAGGCTACAAATAGGGAGAGACAAAAAGATGGAAACTAGTTTACCCACTGCATGGCCATGGAAAATAGACTGTGAAGAACAAAAAAAAAAAAATAAAAAAAAAAAAAAAAAAAAAAGCATTAATTACCCACATATAAAAAAAAAGTCAGATGGATGGGAGAAGTTGGATTCAACGTCTACATCCAAAAGGTATGCAGATACTTGCAGGTCATAGCTCCAGAGACACAAGATATTTGTGGCACACTGACTGACATAATTAGAGCCATTGACCAGAAGAGTACCACCTCTATACCTAGCATATAGATGCAGCCAAAGGAAACACGAGAATCAGGAACTACTCTACTTCCAGAAATAAAGAAAGAGGGGAGTGTACTGGAGTTACACAGTACAGCAGATGCTTTTCATCTCATTATGATCAACTCTTACGCTTTTCCCCAAGATCCTTATCTTACCAAAACCACTTCCTGGCATCGCAGGCCTGCACTATTTCTTTTCTTTTTTTCTTTCTTTTTCTTTTTTTTCTTTTTCCTCCTCCCACCAATGCTGTGTCACTTATCAGTGCTGAAACTACTTACTCACTTTTCATTTTAGAAGCTCATTCAAGCATTTAATTATTTATTTGTTTTAATAAAAAAAGTACATAGTCTATGCAAACATAAGAAAGTACAGGTCAAAGTTGATTTAACTTTGACAGTATTATTTTAATATAAAAATGACATCAGCTGAGTTGTCGCTGAAAAACACACAGGCTCAATGGTGAAAAACACCACATAGGATCTGCTGGTATCCAGACTGATTCCCAGAGCCAAACCTGAATCCACCCAAAAGCCCCATATAATGAAACAAACAACAACAACAAAAAAAAACAAAAACAAGAAAGTTACCCAGTAGCAGGCCTATAAATTAAGTAAGTGCAATTCAGAGATATTACCTAACTGCTCATCCTTGCAAATTAAAATTCAGACCTCATGCTGCCAACAGTGACGTTCCCTTCCACCTTATTCTCAGAACTCAAGAGGGGAGTTTGAGACAAGGAAATTTTTGTTATGATGAGGGCCCAGAATAAAATTGTGCTGAACCCACATGGCTGCATCTGTGCAAGATTTGCACCACTCGTACAATTTTGTAATGAAGAGAAGTATTTCAGGACATAATATTACAGAAATCATCAACACAAATATCAAGTACAAGATTAACGATATCCAGAGCACGTGTAATGAATTCCCAAGCTGGAATAAACAATCCGAGCAATCATCTGTGCAGACGCATTGGCTTATTCTGCTGTTTTCTTTCTCCTCCTGAGTTTCATGATCTCCAGTGAGGGAGAAGCTTCAAAACGTAGATCCAGTTTGCAAAGCAAAGCATCCAGTGTTAGCACGGACATCCTACTCAGCAGCACAAAATCTGCACCTTTGTTAACATCCACTCTTCTAGCATTTTGATCCAATTTCTGGTTATACATACGCCAATGACTTTGTTGATAATTATAGGGTGATGAAAATCAATATAAATCATTGGGAGCTGGCAATATATATATTTTATATATTTATATTTAGAGTCCATCATAGAAAAGTTCATATTCAAATTACCAAGTACACACAAGAAAAAAAAACGTTCAAAATGACACTTCTGTTTTTGGAAACAACAAACAAACAATGCATTTCTATGTAAATGGAGATTTCAAATGACCTTCTCCTGGTAATTTTTCCCACCCTCCCTCCCAGACCCTGTTCCCCACAGGCGTTTTTCAAGATCCTTTTTCTATCGTACATCAGTTGTTCCTAGAGTTAGTTATCTGCTGTGCAAGTATGTAACTGAAGACAGAAAGGAACTGTTAAAGTCTTCACACCAAGAAGGAGCCGTGCTGAGGCCACGTTCAGTGAAATCTTTGCAGTGCTCCAAGTCCACCTGTTCCCTGGTGTCCGCTTCAGCACTCTCCTACTTTCAGATAAAGATGGAATACTGAGGTATATAAGTTCCGTGGAAAGTTTTAAGAAATACATCAGTAATTCAATCAAAACTTTGCCCGATGTCTATGAGTTGAAACAGCATTTTGCTTGTAAGTTCTACTGCTGCAGATTAAGTGTGAATTTCCACTGTTGTGATAAAGAAGGACTGCAGATCTCAACAGTGAGACCACCATTTTTGGCATTTCGGCTGTCTAGACAGAGGTTGCTGCCAACGTGCCTCAGTTTAGAGTTGCTTTCAATTTGTTCCCATTTCTGAAAGAGAGAATAAAGTTGTAAAAAAATCAGGAAAAAAATTCATTCTGTATCCCATCAATTGAAATTTTCATGTGCTTTCCTGGCTTGTGCTTAGGAGAGATGTGAATACTGCAATAATGCAGTTTAGACAATCCTTGATTAAGGGTATGTGTACACTATAGAAAGCCTTGTCAAAGCAACTGTTCTTTCAGCTAGTGCACTGCACAAGATACAGAATACACCAAATCATTTTCTTCTACTTCAGCATTTCTCAAATATGCTGTCACACCATATTTGACTTTCCAAAGCCTTTAGTTTGAGGAAGAAAGTAAGTTACAAAACCCATCCGTAGTATCACTACTACTACTACAGTTCAGAACATAAAGAAGAAGTACAGTCACCAAAGACAAGCCTGGAGAAATCTATAAATCAGTCAGATGTCTTTCAGTTATAAAGATGTCAACTGGTTAGTCTGTGCAGTCAGAAGCACTATTGCCCAAGGTGATGCCAAGGACAGAGTAAATACAAACTGTAAGATGTTAAAAGATTCTGTTGTATTTTCTTTGAATTTATGCCTTCAAGCCTTATCAAGAAAATATTGCCTCCTTGGTTTCTTTATCTGAAAAGTGGCAAAAGTATTTTTTTCTTCTTCAAGACATCATTTCTGTTTGCAAATATTGAAATACAGAAACAAAGAAGGTAACAGAAAATCAGAACTGATGACTTAGCAGAAACAGAACTGTTACATGACAACTGACAACAACAAAAAGGCAATATGAGTCTGCAAATGTGATTTTCCAGAGGCATGGGAAATAGATGAAGTAGCACTGCTGCATGAATAAGGAGCCTATCTAGCAACAGAGTCTAGCACTGTTATAAACAGGTCACGGCTGAAAGAGGAAAGGAAAGCTAACCCCACCCTCCTGAGACAGACTACGTTATCTTCAAGCTTCACTGAAGGCCTTTCAAATATACATCATGAAACACATATTTTATTTCAGAAAATGGACGGGACAGTTGAAGACTGTCACACAACAGAGATGCTGGGTGAAACCTTTATATAAGGCCAATTTTGAGATAACAGCTCTATACGTTATCATAAGATTGTCACTGGTTTATAAAAAGGAAGGATCAATATACAAAATTATTCCTGCTGCTCTGCAGGATGTCATGTATCCAAATTTTATGTATGCGAAGAATGATGCAGAGAAAGAGTAGAATCCTTAGAACAGAATACAGACACAAATGCGTGTTCTTGCACTCTCATTCACAACCCTTGTTTTCTCACTTTTCAGAGAGTATACTCAGGACATACTGACCTGTCTGCTGTCATTTTCCCTGCAGCCCTGAAGTTTTATTAGTGAACCAGGTGCTCTGTCCACAACAGTAAGGCACAAATCCATGTGTTTCACTGACTTGTCCTTTGTTAAGGCCCATTCCTAGAAAAAGGAAGTAAAATTTATGAACGGTATGCAAAATCATTTATACTAAGTTATACACAAGGTGCACCTGCTATCTCTGCATCCATAGCACAGGTTAAACTCCTGTCAATGGCTCAGTAAGTGCATTAGAACAATTTATTATTGCCCACAGAGAAGGAGATGAGAAAAACTGTACTTTTGAAACACAGTACTTTCATCTACTCCAATGGTCTCAAATCTACGCTGGGCTGGGCTAGCTGACTAACTGCTCCCTCTACTGGCTTCACGGAGGTACAACAGGAAGTCACAGGTTCTCAAGTAGGGTCAGCTTCTAAAGCAAATATCTAACTAGCTACATTTTCTATGTATCTAGCAATAGCTGTATAGATTTTATATAGCTTTCACATTAAATATATGAAAAAAACCAAGCTTGGTCTGCAGTATCACTGGTCACCCTATCCACACACTAGGTAACGCACATGTGTTGTGAGGGAAAACAGTTCCTAATGGTAGAGCTCACCAGAAAGCAGAACACAAGGCAGCTAAGCTCAGAGGTAATGGGAGAATGAGACTTCGGACCCAAAGTGTGATGTACAAAAGAATTTCCTTTAAATGCATATTGGCAAGCAGTTTCTTAAATGATGGGCAAAGAAAAGTTGTTCTGTATGCACCAATGCCCAGCTGGTTTTACCTCAGTGTCCTCCTACACAGGACCTGATCTTGCCCTGATGTTCACACACTGCATGCTTCTCACCCTGAAGTCTGATCTCCAGGACCCAGATTGGTCTCCCTGTCTCATTATCCTCTGAGGAAGGAACTTGATCTCCTGACTTGCTGGAGCCACACTAACTGTCTAATTCTCCCTCATTGCTACTTAAAAAGGAAAAATCAACTTCACTCCAGTGAGTTCAGAGGGTCGTGTAACACAAAAACCTAGATATACTAGCTCACGTCTGGCTATATTTAGTGTTATTTTGTAAGCAGTGAGTGTTTCAGAAAGAAATTAGATGCCTAGTCCCATCCCATTTTTCAACTTACTTTCTAATACTGTAACTGATGTTCAGCTTGCATGATCACTTAAACCCAGTAGATTTAACAGTGATTAAATTTCTTTGAGAACAGATGCTCAGGAAACAACCAGAACTTCTCTCCAATGTTATTACCAGTAATCGCCATCATACAGGAAGCAAGCCCAGCAACACATCATTAGATGGACACCATATTATGCAACCACAACTGACTATGCAGAACAAAAAGGAAGGAGAACTTTGCATGTCTCTTTTCTTGGCTCCCAAAACACAAAGCTAAAAGCTTTTCCTTTCACTCTCAATACATCTTTTTTTTTTCTTTTTCTTTTTTTTTTTTTCTTTTTTTTTTTTTTTTTCCCACTACATTCAGACTGGATACTAGGAAAAGGTTCTGCACCAGAAGGCAGTGGGCATAGAACAGGCTGCCCAGGGCACTGGGCACGGCTCCAAGCACTGGAGTTCAAGGAGCAATTGGACACCACTCTCAGATACAGGATTTGGATTTGGGGTGGTGCTCTGTGGAGCCAGAAACTAGGCTCCAGGGTCCCAGAGGACCCCTTTCAACTCAGGATATTCTATTCTGTTTTAATCTCAGATGCCTTCTTGTTCCAACCATTTTGTCCAAGGCTAAGTAGCATCATTGATAGCCACTTTTAACAACTTAAGGAAGTAAGCAAGTATTTTTAGAGCTCATCAGCAAACACAAGTGCCAATGAAACAGATGATTTATACTCAGTAATGACATTTGAAAATACTGTCAGTGTAGTGGTTAAAATTCAAGTTCAAGAATCCTGCAGCAAAAGGAAGTCAAAGCCTTGAAGATACTGATTTTTACATCTTTACCCTTCCATCAGAAGACCAGAAGAGGCCCAGACAAACCAGCAACCACACAGGAACTTAGCTCATCTAAAAGCAAAAGCTACAGCTTCACAGATGTCTCCAAGTTCTGCAGCTGGAGACATCTATATGATGGCCCTTCATAGTGTAAAACAGAACGTACAGGTGCTCCCTCCTAGCAATCAGGATCTGCGATTTGCTATAGTGCTAAAGTTTAAGCAAGTAGCACTACAGAAGAACAGGAAAAAAATGCAAATAGTGCATGTAATGTGCTATGGACGCAGGCTGGAAATAGGTCACGTGTGTGACAACTGGAAAACCAGGACATCTAAAAAAAAACCTGTCTCATAAATCAGAAATAGAACACTACTAACCTTAAACTTTCCCCTTACACATGAGTGCATTTGGCTTTGTCTTAAGCTCCTTATTATGACCCTAAAGATTCGCACAGACTTGTCAAAACAATATATCAGGATTTCTTCACCCATTTTGAAGTGTAATTCTACCTTTTGGACCACTGAATTGTAACAGTCTGCTTCAGGAAAACAAACCCATTTAAACTGAAGTTTTGCTTTTTAAGCTGTGTAAGCATAAGCCAGAGTACACTCTCCATATGGTAGAACAAGGTTTCTGCAGCCTGCAGTAGTTGAGTACTCACAGTCTAACCCTCCACTCCCAACCCTAAACCCTAATCTCAGTAAGAATAGTTGCAAAACACATAGGACAAAGTTGAAGATTCTGCTTTGCTCCCCCAGCCTTCTCCCATGCTAAGATCACTCCCATTCATTCCTTGAATCCAATATGGAACTCAGTGTGGATGTAAAAAGCCACTGTTGACCAGCTCCGTCTCCTAACGTGTCTGAAATTCCATCACAGAGAGAACATACATTTGTTTTTCAAGGTCAACTTCACAGATGAAACTACACTGAAAACTGAAAAGAGGGATCAGATTTGGAAGAGGGAAGGACTGAAAGAAGCATGTACGTATCTATAGAGAACATACAGGATAACCAGAAACTATCAAAACTTCTGCACAGAGGCAATTCTTTGACACAGTTATCCTTTCTTCTCAAAAAACAAAACAAAACAAAAAAACCCCTGTGCTGTTCTGAAGATGGTGTGCATTTTCATAAAGATAACAGAAAACGCCTCCCCAAGTATATTCCCTTTAATGATACTTTAATGATACTTAACTTTAATGATACGAATAAGACAGATCTACAATAGCAATTCAAATCAACATTATACACTGCCTGAAATAACTTCTGTTAGGCTTTATCTGATAATAGGGTTTTCCTCTTCTAATTTAAATCAGAGCATAAAATTCTGATACAATCACTCTTTCAATAGTAGATCTGCAATTGGTCAGGCTTCTGATCTAGCACATGCATTTGATTATTAGTTTTAAATTTATTTGAATTTATAATCACATTGGTTCTGAAAAGTTTAGTGACCATACAAAATAGTGAGTACATAAGCACATACTTTGTTAATAATGATGAAGTCATGACTGCATAATTAGATTCTTTACAATAATGTTCCCATCTACAGATGTGACATATTTGCAAGTAAAAGTAGGCTCAGATAAATTTTGTTGAAACACTCCCTTTACTGGGAGAAAATAGGAAATGAAGTTTAGAAGCCTGTCTTTTCTGGAAGAGCTAAACATGGATCTGAGACAGATTTTTTACATGCCGCTACTACAAACTAGAAATTACTAATACAGCATTATAGTAAAGCACTCCTCTGATTTTGCTGACCTTAGGCCATATGCTTAACAATCCATATCTTTTCTTAAGAAAACTTCCTTCAAAAATCAAACATACCACTTAATGGATTAAAGCTTTTTATGAAAGCCTAAAACTCCTGGGAAAGATTCCTGGCCTCCAGCATAAAAATAAATATTAATAGACAAAAAGGAAGGGGAAAACCTGACCGTATTGAATGAACCTCTCTGCTCAGATTCTAACCCTGAAAGTGCAAAACGACATTTGAGGGAGAACTTTTTACAACAGACTGCCTAAATAACTGATTTGTTCATTTCAGATCACTGACACACAGTACATGGTTGAGTTAGTTTTAATTTATTTTTAAATCCTACGACCACATATTTTGGAAAAAAATGAATAGCATACAGACCTGGTTTCCTCCGGCATTATGACATTCGTAAACTCCAACAACACCATCTGCAAAATGGCCCAAAGTATCAAGGCAATTGGTACCCTGCTGCAAAGCCCCAAAAGCTATATCTTGATGATCAGGTACCCTAAAATAAAACCAGAAATATCTCCCTCAATTAGTCTATCTTTGATATTTCTTTTGCCTCCTCATCAAGTATTTTGAAGATGAGAGGTTTAAGATGAGTGATGACTACTATTTGGAAATTCCAAACATCTTTTGAAGACAGAAGCCAAATTTCTGATCAAACTCAAACCTGCAAGCACAGGACAAAAATAGAAAACAAGGATGAACATACAAACTCGGCATAATGACCAAATTAAAGGTGACATCATTATCATTTAACGTCGCTCATATCTTCACGCTATCAGTTCAGATTTACCACACTTATTTCCAGACAAGCCATCAGAAACATTCTACTTTTGTCCCAAATTGATCTTTACTGAAGTGTTATAAGTTGGGGTTGAAGGGAAAAAAAAAAGAAAAAAAAAAAGTGTTTTACTCATACTTATTTTTAAACAGTCGCATATAAAGTAGAATTCATATAGTCTGGAAGTACATAGGCAAACACATTCAGAGCACCCTTGTGGGGCATAGAGACCATAAGCTCATATTAAAGAGAAAAGCAAGGACATACAAACTCTTTTAAAAACTTCAGACTATGATAAGAATATAATAATTCAACTCAGCCAAGTGAGCACAAGGGAGGTGACACAGAATAAGATAACATTACACACCAGTAATGCTTATTGTAGCACATTTTCCAAGAAAAATTGCAAGCCATATTTCTTCTGACAAATTAAACACAAATAAATATCCTCTGGCACTGTAAGAGAAATAAAGAATAACTTTCCTCCTCAGCATTATCCTGGTTCATGAGACTATTTAACATGTGCGGCTTTGTATGAAGTACACGAAGGCTGTAACAGTTTATGCTCTTGCACTCCAAGCCTGTATTCTAGTAGTAACAATCCAACTTCAGTGACACAAAGTGTCCTCAGCAATAACTATCCTAGAAATCACAGAGACAGTATCCTGTGCAACCAACAGTATGTTGACAGAAGACACAGTAGTTTACAGAGTCTAATACCAAAGCAGCAGTGTTGGAACTGGATAATCTTTAGTGTCCCTTCTAACTCAAGACACTGTGATTTTGTGACCCAGTAGACATACTTATCAGTAGACACATTGCTGAACAAAAATCTTTTCATTCAAGAAGTGCTAAAAATTTTTTTTTGAGGATTTTTCATTGGTTAGTATGCATTCTACAGCAGAAATTATTCCTTTGTATCATGTATTATATTAATGCTGTAAGCACTGATTCATTTTGCAAAAAGTATTAGTTATGTTACCCATAATTTCAGTTTGCTTTTTCCTCTATACATGCATAAAGGTTAGCTATTGGCCACTGACAGAGCAAGAGGTAATGAAACATGTGACTTAGCTTCTTAGAGCAGTGCATTTACCAATGCTTAAAAAACTTGCATGACTTTCTTATCTGCTAGCTTCTGTTATTTCTGCTGTACTGAGATTCAGCTTTCTCACTCAGCTAATCATGTGCTTCAGTGAAGGCAAAACTTTAAAAGGGAAGACAACAGGAAAGAGAACAATGTACCGTCAAGCAAAAAGCCCATGTAGGAGACAGGCTACAGAGGAGTTTAGGGCTTTGGATGCTGTTCTCTGAAATACTGCAGCTACAGCTGCAATTCTATGTAAGTGGAAAAGAAGATTACTTCGACAAAATTGATTTTTAGGAATAGAACAAACAATACTGAAAGCAAATAAGGCCACAATTATATTTTACTTCCAAGGAAGGAGAAAGAGAAACCAGTGATTTGAGTAGAAGACAAGTCAAAACCCCACACCATCTCAGAGTCAGATGAAACTCACCGTAACTCAGGATAAACATTTTCAAGATACCACTTAAAGGGTTTGCAGCTAAGTCTTTTTCTGAGTTCCATTCGGCTTTGAATACTAGAAAGGGAAAAAGAAGAATGAGGTCTGGATGCTGTGTTTGTATGAATTAATGACTGTATACAAACCCCAAGTTTCTCAGTAGATCTATATCTTAAGGACATAAATGCCATCACTACTTACACCTCAGAAGCCACTGTTTTTTGAAGGAGGAAAAAGAAGTAATTGTAACTTACTTTCCATAAGGTACATTCCTGGCTGAAGGCACTGCTGCGTAATAGAAATTCTTGTACTCATCCATCCAGACTTCCGCTGCCCTGCGTGTATTTCTAGGGACAATCATATGAAAAAAAGGTTATATTTTCCCCCAACTGCAATTAAACCATGTCATTTATTCTTGATTTGATTTTAATCCTTCTTAGTACTACATCATCAGCTGCCTCAAGCCAGGCAGAAGATTTCCTATTAAAGTCCCAAGTAACAGAAAATCATTAGAAAATCACAACTGAAATCAATACATTTAGAAAAAATGCCTTTTCCACAATTTGCTGCTTCACATTTTCATCTGGAATTTAATACGCCCTGGAATTCTTTCTGTAATCTTCAGGGAATGTTGTTGGTTTTGTTTGTTTTAATACAATTTGATAGACCAAATTCAGTGAGTCTTCACCTGAATAAGCAAGCTAATTGGAAACACAAAATTTCAACAATTTGAAATATTTAACAGTGTATATTGCCTTGCTGAAAACAGATACGCTAACTTCAGCAACACATTTTCAGTCTGCATCTTACTATAACCAGCGTAGCATTCAACATTCCAAGACATAAGCTGTTCTGACAATCAAAGCTATGTACTAAACAAGTCTACTAAAACAGAGGAGACAGTACTTAGAAATTTTTTTTTATTATTTGAAAATTCAGAGATTAATTACTGCAGTAAATGTAAAGGGAAAAAAGCTAACCTGGATTATTTACCTCAAATCAAATGGCTAACTAAAATGTCTATATTTTTGTAACGGTGTGTTTACAGCTCCCTTTGGACTGTGAGATTGTAAGGTGTTTCTTTCCCCCTCTCCTGGCTTCCATGTAAAACTCATCTACTTCTATTGTTTGTAGTTTCATTGAATTACTTCCCTTGCAACTGTCATGCTCTGAAGCTTATTTTACATTTGGCAGTAAGTTCTATCTTAAGCAGCCAGAGTAAATGCAGTCAGCCAACAACTTATTGGTATGATTCTTTCCAAATTAGAAGGCAGAAGTAGCCAGGACAATTTCAGTTCTTGCAAATTGCTAAGAGCGGAGGAGGTGGGGAAAGGGGAAAGAGGAAAAAAAATAAAAAAAATAAAAACAAACAACAACAACAACAAACAACACAAGGCAGACTTCGATCATTTGTTGTTTGAGGACCAATATTTTCCTTACAAAGATCCCTTTTTTATGTGTGTGTGTGTGTGTGTGTGTGTGTGTAAGCAAAAACCCATTCAATCCAGATCAGACTGTTTCAGTTCAAATTCACTTGTAGTCTGTCAGGTTTTAATGACTGTCACTCAGCCGCTCGGCAGTCAGGTTGGCTATCTATTCAGAGGCCAAATGGATTTTGGTGGTGGGAGAGGTACTAATTGGTTTGCCAGAGTTTAACAACTCAAAAGGCAATTCCAAGGCCAGTATGCATCTGTGTATCACACTTTTACACAACCAAAAATTAAGAATTCAGACACAGTGCAGTATGGATATAGAAACCATATATATGCTGAGAACTGCTCAAATTTGTATGACTCCAAAGCAGTCAGAGTACTGAGAAACACAGTGTAGGGAACACTCAGCACCTAGATTAAACCACAGATAATGAAACTTAGCATCATGCCATCAGAGATAGTTTTGCACATACCAGACTAGGGTCTGTAAGGTTTATTAACTCAGATGAAGTTGTGTATTAAAGCAGCTGGCCCCCAAGCAGTAAAGCATATATATGTGCAAAAGCAAACCTGATCTAATACATTCTGCTAGAAGCAAGCAGCATCTGCCCCCGCACAACATCCACGATGTCATCCCTTTTCTCCTCTTGTACCACACGACTCCCAGCCTCTCATCCAGGATCAATTTGTTTTGGCTGCCCAAAGGCAGTGCATACTGGCTAGTCAGCTAAAAATAGGAAGCTTACCCAGAGCACTCCAGAACAAATTACATACAGTCAAGGGACGGATGATTGCATAAGCTAATGAGTCCCAACTGCACAAGCAGTGATTCCATACACCAAGTTTTTTTGGCACCATGGCTCCACACATTTGATAATGTCTGCACCATGAAGGTATTCCATTACCTTAGGTTTCACATTCTCTCATTGCTAAAAATACTTTTTTTTTTAAAGGGAATTTTGTTATATTAGCTTGACACACAAGGCAGCTGACTGGGGAAGAAACAACCTTCAACTAAAAAGCAAGGTTGACAAGTTGCTGTAAAGTGATAGATAAGTTTTCTAGGTCAATTCAAAAATAATTCCAATGAAACAAAGAACTTTAATGGCATTTCGGAATTTGAGACAGCTGGACAGTCAAGGATAATGGCAATAAACCACTTGCAGAGAAAGCCAGACCTGGACAGGAATGCAAGTGCCCAAGATTAAAGATCACAGACTTTACTTGTCCTCATAATTCAAGTCCAGGTAGTATTTCTTTTAAAAGTCATTTCGAACACAAATAACAGAAAAACAAAATGCATCAAAAATAATCTGTCATGGTAGCTGTCAGGAAACATGAGTGATTAAATCACAGCGATGATCTGACTTAATAGCAACAAAATCCAAAAGTTGTCATCCCAATATAAACGCAGAATCTTCAACCACTGTAAATGACACATTTATGATGCATGCTCTGATCTTGCATATGCAAAGCCAGCCCCTTTCTTGCTTTTCAGATGAGTTATGTGTAAGTACCTATCTAATAGCACAAGTGTGCAACAGACATTAGTCAACAGACTAACAATAGAAAAGATCCAGAGAATGCCAGAATTAGCCTACACGATCACCTGTACATCTCATACTCATTCTGTAATAACAAACAGCAAATAAAGCAAATTCCTAACCTACTGTATTCTGGGTCATAGAGAACGACAGTATCGTTCCTAAAAAATGAAGATGTATGGGACTGTTCTGAAAATAAAGGTTTCTTCAAAACCAAATAAACAAATTTCTCAAAATTGGCTATTTCCTTTTTTTCCAGATTAATCTCTAATGGAGATATTTTGCCTTACGCATATTCTCCTGTCATCAGCTTCTTCTAATGAAAAGGTCCCTAAAATTAAATTACTGCCACCTGCTGATCATTTGAAGAAATTCAAAACATCACTATTTAGCTGAAGATCATCTTAAGAGTTACCTTGCAAATACAGTACCACTCCCACCAGGAAATGTATACGGATGTTGCTTGCGGAATACGTGACCCACTCTGCTGCAAGGGATGATTTCTAGGCTCCCACCACATTGCCAAACTCGGAACGAGATCTCTGCAATAAAAACATAAAAGACCAACATCACAAAACACATCACAAAATACTGTAATTTCCTACAGTTGTTTTTAAACAAAGAAACCGGTAATTGCTGAGAAGATCAATAGGATGGATTTCTGAGAAAATCTAGGATAAAACCAAGGCATATTCTTGTTTATTATCATCCAAACTCAGAAGAAATAATTGTATTAACTTGGAAGCAAAACTGCATGCCTTCTCTCCTCTGAGCAGTATTCTCCAAACTCAGAAATGATGCTGAAATTTGCCAGAATAAGTTAGGTTTATGTGTTCTATTGCTGTGCTTTATCTAAATGGTAAATAACAGTAGATTCATTTAGCATAAATTAATTATCTAATCTATAATTTTAAAAATCAGCTAAAGATTAAATAGAATGTCAAGCAAATTCAATGCACAATAAAACAACAGATTCGAGCTGCTGGCTCAAAGTACTGGCAGTAAAAGGAGTTATGCCAAGCCAATCTTGATTTGAAGATAGAGTAGCAACTTATATAAACCAAAAGCTATGGTCACTACTTTTGTAAATCAAGCAAGCAAACTAACTATGGTAGTAAAGACAAGGTCTAGAAACATATTGCATATTTCTCATCTTAGACCTCTAACAGCAGAAATCACCTAGTACTGACAGAGAACTTGTCTTCATTCATTTGAAGCAAGCACAAGGGTGCTTGCAATAGCAGTGTTTCAACTTCGATATTTTTCCCCCTTTTAGTCTAGTAGCTGCAGCAGGTTACCATCTCCTACCCTTAGTCTATTCATCATCATTCAGTATCTTTTCACAGATTTAAAAAAAAAAAAAACAACACAAAAAGCAAAGTCACATTCCTCTTTCAAAACTAAGTGCTACTCTTCCTCCAGAAGCCCTCCTCTCACACATATAAATCAAAAGTTTTATTTCAAATAAACCTCATCATTTCAAAACCCAAAGTAGGAAAACCTGAAGGTTAGCAAGCATGTCCTCTCAATTATAGAATCCTTAGAGTTGGAAGGGACTTCTAAAGGCCATCCAGTCCAACTCCCCAGCAACGAACCGGGACATGCACAGCTACATCAGGTTGCCTAAGGTCTGATCCAGCCTTATCTTGAAAGTCTCCAGGGACAGCGCATCCACCACATCTCTAGGCAACCTGTTCCAGTGCCTCACTGTAAAAGACTTTTTCTGTACACCCAACCAAAATCTGCCCTCCTTAAGCTTGAAACCATTTCCTCTTGTTCTGTTACCACGGACCCTTCTTTCTTGTAGCTCCCTTCTGACTGGTCTGACCAGAGGAAAAATAAGTGCTGTCATTTCAAACTAAGGCAATGCAAGTTAACTGCTTTTCGTCTGAATCTTTGCTTTTTACAGGAATTCTTTCTAATTTTACCTCAGAAAAAATTTCTGTTCAATCAAGGCCAGTTAGTCATATTCATGAAGACTAGATAATCAACACAGTCCAATCTGCAGACAGTCAGTCTTCCAAAAAATATTAATGACAAAAACATTATCTCTGGCAGTAACTTATGGCCTTGATTTTATAGTTAAATTAACATGGGAGGATAGGCAAATGACTTTAAGAAGCAACTGAACATGGCATTCTCACCACACATTTTTCACAGCACTGACTTTATTCTTATCTCTTATTTTGTGCTAAGAAAAGCAAAAATTGGGAATCACAATAAATGACTGTTCAGTGTTTCTATTAAGCTAGCAAAAAAAAGTGCTTTCCTGTAGTGCTTTTATTAAAATGATGAATATTTTTATTCATTTTTAATTTATTATTATTAATTATTATAATTTATTATTATTAATTTATTAAAACGCTTCATCCAAAACATCAATACTATGTTCATTAATGATCTGGATGATGGGGTAGAATGCATCCTCAAATGTGCAGATGACATGAAACTGGAGTGAGTGTCTGATTCAGAGGGACCTTGACAGGCTGGAAAGGTATGCTGACAAGAATCTCACGAAGTTCAAGAAGGACAAGTGCAGAGTCCTGTGCCTGGGCAGGAGCAACCCCAAGTACCAGTATGTGCTGGGAGCCACTCAGATGGAAAGCAGCTCTGCAGAAAAGGACATGGGGTTCTGGTATCAAGTTGAATACAAGGCAGGGGCATGCCCTCGCTCCTAGCAAGGCTAATTGGTATTCTGGGCTTCCTTAGGCAAACTATCACCACCAGTTCTATATTCAAGACTGGTTATACTGCATCTGGAATATTGTGAAGAGTTCTGGGCCAGCCAGTAGAAGAGAGACATGGATGAACCTGCAAAAATCTAATGTAGGGATGAAGGGACTGAAGCATCTCTATTATGAGGAAAGCCTGCAAGAGCTGGCACCATTCAGTTCGGAGAAAAGAAAGCTCACGTGGGTTCTTATCATTGTCTATAAATATCTGAACGGAGCCTGCAAAGAGAATACAGCCATGCTCTTTTCAGAGGCGCTCTGTGCCAAGACAGGAAGCAGCAGGCATGAACTGGAACACAAGAGATTCCAGCTAAACTTCAGGAAGAATTTCTTCACCATACAGGTAGCTGAGCACTGGAATAGGTTGCCCAGAGAGGTCTACGAGAAATATCCCTCCTTGAATTTCTTCAGACATTGATTGGACATGATTCCCTGCAACAGGTGGCCCTGCTTGAACAGTGTGGGTTGGACCAGATCACCTCCAGAAGCCCCTATCAAACTCAAACATTCTGCTATTCCGTGATCTACTGAATGTACGTAAGTGCTGAAAAACTATTCCAGAAGTAATTTAGAAATATCTTGCATACCAACTACTTCTATTATTCATAGCTTCCTCTACTCTGTACTTTAAGTTAATGCTTTGTTATTTGATTAGTTCTCCCTTCACAAATGCCCAGGCCTGTACACCTACATATATACTTTCAGACACCTTAGGCTCTGAAGAATATCAAAAAGATGAAAAATAGCTGTGGGAAGTACAGCAAAAGGGCCTGCAAATTGGGAGGGGTAGACTAATACTTACATCACTGTGGCTTCTAAAGTCTGCATGAATTTTAAGTTAAAAGGAACATAAAGCAATTAAAATGTAAGATGTTAGGCTTTTCTTGTTTTCTTCTTAGGATGCTATTTTTCATCATACTCATTGGGAAAATAAATTCTACTATTTTAACAGTTTCAGAAGACACAATTTTTTTTTTTTTTAAAGGCGCAAATAGTATGTCGTGCACTTCCTTTGGAGCACCTCCCCTATGAAGACAGGCTGAGGAAGCTGGGCTTGTTCAGCCTGAAGAAAAGAAGGCTGCGGGGTGACCTCAGTGCAGCCTTTCAGTACCTAAAGGGAGCCTACAGAGGGGAGACAATCAACTCTTTGAAAGGGTTGATATGTGTAGGATGAGGGGAAATGGTTTTAAGTTGAGGGAGGGGAGATTTAGGTTGCATGTCAGGCAGAAGTTCTTTACAGAGAGAGTGATGAGGTGCTGGAACAGGCTGCCCAGAGAGGTTGTGGATGCCCCGTCCTTGGAGGTGTTCAAGGCCAGACTGGATGCGGCCCTGGGCAGCCTGGTTTAGCATTAAATGTGGAGGTTGGTGGCCCTGCATGTGGCAGGGGGGTTGGAGATTTGTGATCCTTGAGGTCCCTTCCAACCCTGGCCATTCTGTGATCCTGTGATAAGATTACCTTCAATACTGCTCTTGCAGCATATTACCAATTTAGAAGGTGAAGTCTTACTTGCTTTCTGATTTCAGCAAAACTAGAAAGAAAAAGCTAGGTTTTCAAATTTAATCCAAACCTTTTAATGATCTATCCATTTCTTTAGTATACCTGATCTCCCTATGCTTATCAAAAAAGCACTGCAAAAGCTCTCAGGATTAGAGTCTATGAATTTGAGAAGACTGGACAAACCTTGATCCATGTTTTATACAGCAAACAGTGGCAACAGTGTGAAAATACACCATATCTTCACAGCATGAACAGTCATTTAGCTAATATATTATTTAGATTAGATTTATTTAGATTTAGACTAGGCAAAATACTGCAAGCTCATACACCTATTACATGAGTATAGTTGAACCTATACTACTGTGAAGAAAATCTCACATCTGCCCTGTAAACGCTTGCAAGAAAATGCAAATTTAAATGAAGTATAAATATGTTTAGAAGTATTTTACGACTCCATCTAGCAGATTATTTGCACGTAACATCAACTGACTGAGAGGTACGCCTGAGAATAAAGAGGCTGTACAAATATGCATATTGAACTGCACATCACAGATTTCCACTATCTGGTGCATGTCATCTATTGGTAATTAAATCAAAGGCCATACAATTTTTATTCATTTTCAGTTAACCTGGCAGCTATGAACAAATAATTAGCTGTCTGCTCTGATAGGCCTTGCATTTTCAGGGAGCAGAGAAGATGCACCCCAAAGGCTCCATCTCCCCTCCCTCCTACTGCGGAGAAGAGAAAACTGAAAGCAAAAGAAGAAACAAAGATTTTTGCATGCCAACTTTTCACCTTGAGAAATGAGCTGTTGCTTGTGCCCTTTATTACTACAAAATCCTCAATTATCAAAGCATACAAGCAGTTGCTAAGTTTTCAGAAAAAAAAATCTGAGTGACTCAAGTGCATGCCTACAGCTAATCAGATATTTAAGTGCTCCAGTGTCAGAAGAGGTTCTCAGAGGATAAAAGCATTGCTGTAGTAAGTTTATTCAATGACTTTCCAGAACATTTTAAAAAATGAAAAACAACGATGATGTTCAAATTAATACAGTTCAGCCACATGCAGCCAAATAGTGAGGAGAATAAAATGTAACAGAGAAAGTAATTGTTCATAATACATAAGAGTGAGCACTGTACAGAAAAGTCAGAGGAGATGGTAAGGATGTTTTTTCCAGCTTATGTAAGTTCCAGCTTATTCCAGTTCCTTATGTGAGTGTTAAGCAAGTGGTTACAGTGTCTCAGTATTTAGAGGTGTACTGGATAAAACAGACATTTTCTTGTAGGCCACATACGCCTCATGCAGGTATTTCAGTAGCTAAAACACTCATGAGTTTTTACAAGTTCAAGGTATTTCAGTTTCACAGCTAGAACAGCAGTAGAGGCATTTTAATCCTCAGAATTGGTCCTAAACACACTATTTAGAATGTCTGAGATGATCCCTACCTTGAAAAACTAAATTAATGACACCTGTATAACTCATAAACAATTAGAGTTCTGCTCCACTCAAAGATTTCTTTAACTATAAATGCACTTGTCTTAGCTGAGGGATAATACTGTAAAGCAGAGAGCCAAATGCCAAATCTAACCATAAGGTGAAAATAATGGCTAAAGTGCAAGTTCTTGGTCCCTCCTCCTTCCTCCTCAAATCCCACTCAAACATCTGAATTCCAATAAAAATGCCTTCCCAAGCATAATTATCTTGTTGAGCTAAAATAGGGATATAAAATAAAAAGCCTAAGTTTAAAAGCCTAAGTTTAAAAGATCAATGATAAAAAGATCATTTTTTGGTCAGCTGTTTTGATCAATTGCTTAAAGTGTGTGTAAGAACATTAAACTCATGAACTCTCGTGCTCTGATTTTTGTCATTAAATTTCACCAGCATTTTAAAACTTGCCTTAAATTGTCAGCATTTAAACACCGTATTTTAATCAATAACATTATAGGGGGATATGGCTTTCAAACAAGGTATCATTTTTGAAAAGAACTTCCTATCTGCATCCTTAGTTCATTTCATTTTACCTGCCAACGTATTTAACTGCACAGTAAGCAAATAGTTCTGCTTTCTCATACATAGTATAAAATTGCTACCATGTTTTAATTCTTACACTGAAACCTTCTGGATTTTCCCAATAATGCACCTGAAGTTTTGACTGCTCTTTAATCTTCTTTGCATGAAACCACGAAGATCATGAAACCATGACAGTAAAAGCAAAGCTGAAACTTGCTTTTCTGTGAAAACTGATCTGAAAGTACATTATGCACTTACCTAAGTTTTCTCCACCCCAAACATCCATCATCATGTCATACTTCCCCAGTTCTTCAAAATAGGATTTGTCCATCACAAATAACCCACCAGCTATCATGGGTGTCCTAAACAGACAAGAAAAATTAAATCAAATACTTACAGAACCATGAACTGGGAGGTAATTGATTTGCATCTCAAGGTTAATATCTCCTTGAAAAAAGCTGCAATGTTTTCGAAGGCGACTAAGTTTACATCCATCATGTCAAAGCTTGTCTGCACAACATCATGCAACATTTCTATGGCATGTACAGCATTATAACTACCACTGCCTCAGAAGCTGAATTTCCAAAACTCCACTTGGTTCCCAAGTCCCTTATTTAAAAAATGGGAACTCGTGCCAGCAGTAAAACATTAAAGTTTTGTTGCTGTATTTTTAGCTGTCAAAACACATAAAACATCAATTTTTAAAATAAACATGACTTTTTTTTTTTTCCTTTAAGGTTAAATAATCTACAGGGGAACTGTTGGGTGGGGTTTTTTTTGCTTTTTTTTTTTTGTATGCTTTTTTTAAACACTATTTGTGAGAGCATCATAAGGATGCACAAACATGAATGAAGTTACCATATTCTTGAAAGCTAGCTAAGGTTCATTTCTAGACTGAAAAAACAAGTTTTAGTTCTGTTTAGTCACAAGCTACTTGGTCCCGGATCCATTTCTGTTTTAAATATGTCAAGTCTAACTGTAAATATACAGTTGCTACACTTCAATGCATGTCATTTACAGTAAAATATAAAATGCTACAGATAGGAAAAAAAAAACTAAATGAAATTCCCTTAAGCAAAAACAGAAAGGATGCAAGTTCTGTACTACTTTGCTTATTATAAACTCTAATCTTGAAAAACGGGGACTGTCTGCACTAATTGTCTCCATTTGAATTGAATTTTCCGAACTGGTAATATCACTTTTCATTTCTGAGATGGTGACATGCACAAAAGTAAGTCTCATACTCCTGAGTTAAAAAACAGAACAGTATTCGTGGTAAACTTTGCTTCAAGCTATGCTCTCATCATGTCCTACAGCAATATTACACTCTGCCTGTTTTATTATGCATTTAAATCAGATAAACCAACCAATGCTAATCTATTTGTACTGAAGATCTCTGATGGGAACAGAGTCCCGTGAAGATGAATCAATACATTTTTTTAATTAAAAAAAAGCATTATCTATCAAATGGAGAATCAGTGATATAGACATACTTTATGGGAGCAACTGGGTTTCCTTGCCGTGCTCTTCTTTGCTCTGGTGTCATGTAATCCCATTTGAATACCAGGTTCCAGTCAAAGCCTTTAAGAAGAAAACAGAGTAGGATGTTAAGACTGTGGTCATTATTCATGTTGTAGTAATGTAATATCAAACAAAATCACTGGGAAGGAAATTTAAACTTGCACAATCTTCTTGGTAGAAAACAAATGAGGAGGAGCTCGAAAGAAAAGAAGTTGAACAGGAGAATAAAAAAAGTAATCTAAATAATATTGATTTTTCTTGTTGACGTTTATTACACAAGGTAAGAAACCCAGTAGTAGATGAGAAAGCATAAGTCACAAATACATGAAATAATGGATTCATGTGTAAGTCACACTGAACATCATGCGAAGATCTTCATCCCTTTACAATTGCCCTTAACAGTTCTTATTGTACTGTTGCATATCAGCTGTTATGATCATGCTTAGGCTTACAGAAACTTTATACAGCACTCACTGCTCTTCTCTATCAGCATTGGTTCTCTATCACAAAGGTTACAGCAGGTTATGTAGCTCTCACTTCCCATTAACATCCATACAACTGCATCCTTTCCTACTGCATGCTTCTACATGCATCATTTTTGAAATTCAGATCAGTGCTATAGAGACAAAAAGCTTAATCATCTTCTGCACACGTATATATGTGTGACTGCATGCACACAGGAGATTGGTTCTTTTGTGAGCTAAGTACAGAAGCACAAAGATCACCAGAAAAGGGAAGGCCGAAGAGTCACAGCAGCTTTCTACCTGACATTTTGAACAGCCTTCCTTTAGCCACCAATACAAAAAAAAAAAACCAACACAGCAGGTGCAAGATAAACTTCCTACTAGGAAACACTAACTGGTTTTGAGCTATGTTACGCCTTTAGGTATGAACCTCTATGGAAAAAGCTCCATGAGCTGTACAGTGATCTCCCAGTGCGCCTAGCAAACCAGCCTTACAAAGACTGAGGACTGCCAAAAGCATTTAGATCCTATGAGGTCATGTAATAAATGATTTCCAGATTTCTGTTGCGCAGATGTCAATAGTTTTCTTTCTTCAGTATGAAGATAAAGCAATTATTTTCTGGGGAAAGTAGGAAAAAAAATTAAGCTAAACAGGCAACAGACTGTTTGTCTGGATCTGTAAATGTGCATGGTACGGATTGATGTGGAGAACTAAAATGAAAATTGCTTAGTTTTCAACTCCCAAGATATGTCTATCTCACAGAAGCTACCCTGAACACTTTTTGCAACATGCATGGCAACTCTACAGATTTAAGGTGTAAAACTGTACAGTGTTACACTGTAAAAAATGAAAGATCATCTAAATACTCCTAAAACTCCAAGTTTCAAAGCATTAAAATGGCTACAACTGATAGCAGTGCAAAGCCTCCACGATGAGAATTAAAACTAACTCCAATATTTCCCTGCAGTTAAAAAATAAATTTCATTTCATCATACATCCCCAGCAAAATTACTTGCATCTGGGAAGAACTGAAAAACTCTACTGTTCCCCAGCACAAGTGGTAGAGATAGAGTTACGTACACCATAGTGAACACAAGGGGTCTCTTTTGGAACACAGCACTGCATTGCAAACTCGAAACAAGTGTATAAATTGTCTACTCATAAAAAACTGTTCTTCTGTCTCCATTTTCACTGAGGCTGGGAAAAAGCACTCAAAGAAATAGTATCAGTAACTTTGTAAAAGGAATATTTTTAAACACAAGTGCGTATACAGTATGAAATTCTATCACGTGTAAACTTCATAATAGGCATAACCTAAGTTATTAGAACTCTGTTAACTACAATTTAGTCCAGTAATTAAAATGCTACTCAGGGTGTAAATAGTTTTGTAAGCCTTCTTCCTTCCAAAAAAAAAAAAAAAAAAGTAATATGAAGTGCACGGATTTAATAGTGGCCAGCCATGGGAATTATTTCAGTTCTGTCCACTTTTAAGTCTGTAGCATTTGCTAGATTGCTTGTCTTGGGTGATTCAGTCTTGCAAAACAGAGCAGGCACAAATGCTGTCCCAGCTGTCTCAACTCTCCATGTTTAAGCCACGCAGACACTATATCTAAGGTTGAAAGCATGGTTTGATTTCCATGTTTAGACTTGGCCTCAATGAAAGTGTCCTGTGATGCCAAATGCTGGAGTGCCCCTAACGTGCTAATCTGTCCTTTGGGATCTGAATGCGAATATATTATTCACATTTGAACATACCACCAAATAGCATTCAGACATAGCTATGTGAAAAATTTCTATTGTTAAAAGGCAGCTTCTCACTTCACAGCCCAGAAGTACAGAGGCTCAATGCGCTTTAAAGAACCTATTGTGTATAAGAGAAAACGAGCACTAAAAGGAGAAAAAAAATGGGAAATATAGTTCATAGACAAAGCATGAAAAGCAGCAACAAGTAGAATGATCGCTCAATCCTCTCCCAGTTCAGTTGGAAAGAATTAAAGAGCATGAACCCCACAGGAACCAATCTAAGGTTTCAATGAAAACTCCTCCTCCCACTGCAGACAACAATAAGAGCTACATAATGGTATAGAGATTTCCATAGTTGCTGCATAATGAATAGATTGGGCAAAAGCCTTAAGGTTTTAATAAAGCTAGCACACAGATAATAGCATAGTATTATAAATTAGCATACTGTGAATATATCCATGGCAGACATCTTTTCAGAACGCTAATTAAAAGGATACAGAAACTTTTACCTCAAGATCATGACTGGAACTTGAAGCACATGCAGCATTATGCAAATATTACTTTAGTTTACTGGAACAAACACTTGGTGGCCAGTTATGGACTAGGATTTCACATACAGAAGGAGCTTAAAACTGCTTTCTACTACCTCACTTGAGAGAGCCCATTCAAAATAAGCTGAAAAACTGTGGAAACAGTACCACATAATTTCAATATTGTGGCTTATCTTACATCTGTTCTACAGGCAGCACAGTTTCTAGGGTTGTGGGAACAATTATTGTGGATCAGTTATGGGACAACTATTCTAAATGCTAGACACCTGCTAATAGTGAAATTACATTTAAAAACTTAACAAATAAGGATTTTACTGCAAACTTGTCTTTCCTCTTTTGGAAAGAAGGGAGAGAATCATTTTTGAGAGTTTCACAAAGCTCTTTACTACTTGCTGTTAACAGTTTGCATTAACCAGACAACAAAACCATAGCTTTTGTAAACAGAATTTAACAGGAAATTTTCTAACAGTAAAGATATAAACACTACAAATTTCAAGGTTATGTGTTACTCTCTTCACAATTACAGATTATGGGTTAGAAAAAAACAACACCTTTCCTTTTTAAAAAACAAACACATTCCAGAGGTTTCTGCTTTTTCATAAGAGATTAATTTTTAAGCAAACCAGCATCTTAAAAAAACCTCATAGGCACCGCATTGCTGATGGACTTCTGAACTAGAGAGCAAATAAATTGTCGTCTGTAAAAAGGGAATCATAAGCTCTTCCAACCATAAGCTGCTTCTAACACTTACACAGCACTGCAAACATTCGAGTGACTCCTGTACACTGGTAAAAAGCAGCATAAACTTATAAGAATTGGTATAATAAAGACAAACTCTTGTAAAGTAGAATGCAACAAGGCCATTTAAAATCTAAGCCTGGAAACAGTCGATATATAGAAATAAAGCTAGATATGCAAAAGGGAAGAGCAGTGTGTTGACTGCCCATTCTACAGCTGCAGTGACCACGAGCTTTGACTTGTGATGCTTCTTATTTTATTTGTATTCCAGCAGAGGTACATACCGCCTTTTAAATCAGCTGACGCCCCCACGTACTGGAAGTTGTCCATATTAATTACATCGATAATAGGAGACACAACTCTGGTCTTGTCCTAAAATAAATATTAGAAAGTGATATTGAAATAATGAAACCAATATATAAAGATTCAGACAGGATAAGATGTTGCAGAGTTCAGCAGGATTTCATGAATACTGCTCCCCCACCTTTTCCCCTGCTTCTGGTTCTGAGCAGCACTGCACACCACTGCTTCATTCAGAGAGCAGAAACCACATTACATAGCTAAGATTCCTCTTCATATTCCAGCCTACCTTACACACAGGTAAACCTCTTCTGGCTTATCTGTGAAGAAGGCAGCAAACTTCTATTTCAAAAGACAGACAGGCAAACAGCATTTTCATTCTTACTTTTCAAACCACTGCAAAGAGAACCATCTGGGTAATTCATATTTTCACAGCAAATTCCTAGCCCATAAGGTAGTGTGATGTTATTACTATAGTCTTTAAGGGACACTAAGGCCTTTCCACAATCAGAAAAGTCTTAGGTTAATGATAACCGATTTCACCCTAGAAGAATCACACTTCACAATCAGATAGAAAATGGGGAAAAAAAAAAAAATCCTCCTAAACTAATGAACGCTATTAATCTCTGGAAGCCAAAATTCCAGTGGCATAGATTCTGCATTCCTCTGTCTGAACTTGGTCTCATATACTATTCTAAGCAACATTAATTACCGTAGCTCATGTGTTTGTCGAAATAGCTTTTAAGTTAAAAAAAAAAAATCTTTCCAGTAACTCCACACGCATCATCCATTGGGATCATAAGACATCTGTAATCTAAGAGAAAATCATCTAATATTAGAAACACAGTGTCATGGTTAAACCAGTTCTTCTCTACGAGGTACCTCTTGAGGCAAAAAAGAAAAAAAAAAAAAAGAAAAAAAAAGATATATTTACAAACTAAAGTATAACTTCTATGGTAGTTTGATTAACAGGTAGCTTGCATTCAAAGTAGAACTTTAAACACCACAATTTAGTAACAGAGCATAGGTAACTTCAGAACAGTAAAATACCAACTTTGTGAATACAAAAATGCTTTAAACAAACAGGATATTTTGGTAACTATCTTACAGAGAAACTGTTCTTATGGTTAAAAACAATACTAACCTAATCGTCCCCACTGTAAGAATCTATGTGTAAAGTATTGCTCCAAACAACAATGCATATATTCTAAACAGGTTCAACAGTGCATCCATTGCTACTGCAGTATTATACAGAACGGCTGGTATTAAATTAGCAGGAGAATATAGTGTGAGCTTGTAACAGGAGGCCTGAAAGCAATTCTTTTAGACAAATGATTTTGTTGGTCCAAAAAGGACATTAAAAACACCCATTTTCATTTACTGAATCTTAATTACTCAATCTGTACAGATTTTAGTAAGCCTAAATTAAATAGCTGACATATACTACATCATTCTACATAAGTAAACAAAAGGTCACTTTCCCCCATATTAGCCAGAAGGAAAATCTGAGTTGTGTCTCCAGCCAAAATCTGAAGACTGAGCTAAAAGCTGACAACTTGTATTGCTTCTACATTCCTTTTAAGTAGAACTTGAGCTATACCACGTGAGTCTTTATGAAGGATATAATGCAAGATGTGATCATGACTTTCACTAGCTATTAATTATCTTTGGCCTAAACCAAATTAGAAACACAAATAAAAGATGACACTGTCCTATTCTGCTATTGATTACATCTTCAGCTCGCATTTCTGTTAGCTGTAAACTCAAGTCTACGTGTTCATAATGCAAGGATATGGTTTTACTAGCAGTAATCCATTTGGGAGGCAATTATGATTGACTGCATCTGAACTGCAAAACACCACAGATTTCTGCTGTGCCTTCCTACAACACTAAAACACTTCAGGTGTACACATTGTTTTAGATATCTATATGCAGTGTCAAAACTAGAAAACTTCCTTATTTAAAGGCTGATGTCTTCTAAAGATACCCAGCCTACCCAGTATTCACAGTACACCCATCAGCGTGACATGAGACCTTATTGCTCTCTATAACTACCTGAAGGGAAGTTGTAGTGAGCTGGAGGTCAGCCTCTTCTCTCGTGTAACATGACAGAACTAGAGGGAATGGCTTCAAGCTGCAGCAGGGGAGATTTAGGCTGGATGTTAGGAAATACTACTTTTCTGAAAGAGTGGTCAGGCACTGGAATGGGCTGCCCAGGGAGCTGGTGGAGTCACTGACCCTGGAGATGTTCAAGAAATGTTTGGATTTTGTGTTGGGGGACATGGTTTAGTGAGAGCTATTGGTGATTGGTTGGATTGGATGATCTTGAAGGTCCTTTCCAACCTTGGTGATTCTGTGATTCTGAAATAGAAACAAATATGAAATTTCCCTTTCTTTCTTATTCCTTCCTCAGCTGAAGCTGAGGTGGCTTATACAAATCTATGCCCATCTAGAAAAACCTCCTCCAGCAAAAGTCTGTACTCTCAAATGATTATACATGATAGAGCTAAATGTGGTGGTAAAAACTGCCTGTTGTCTGTCACATTAGGAAGAGCTTCAGTGAGACTTCAGCTTATCTCCACTACATCCCCACAATGCTGAACAAGCAGGCAAGCACAGTCTCCACACATTCAGGATTTCCTGAGGTCATTGCTGTCGGTCTGATTAATTCTGTCAATATCAGTGCAGTGGCAAACTAGCACCATTTGCAACACTTAACGTGTTACTTAGGCAACTTCATTATTTCTCTGACACGCAAATACCTAGACTGATGTACAACTGCCACTTTCTCAGCCTTGGAAACAAGCTGCCCCCTCCATGCTTCAAAACAATACCTTTGTTCAGCAGCAAAGCAGACAAAATACTTGCACATCCCTAAGGTGACACTTTGCAAGGCACTACAGAATTGTTAATGTAGAGACTGCTAAAAAAGAGCCAGTGGGTCTCTAAGGCAGAAAGAGTTCAAAATCATTCACTTAAAATACTAAAACCTTGCTCTTCTTAAATTATCCTCATGCACAATAGAAAAAAAAATTTCATTACAGCAGAAACCTGGCGTGTGTTTTGGAAAAAAATAAAAGCAAAAACAAAATCTTTCTCATCTGATTTTGTTCTGAAGGTTTCATACCATAAAATATAATGGAATACACAATTGGGAAACCTTGTGCTTTCTGATGATGCCAATGGAAAGAAATAGCCCATGAACACTGCAGGTCTCTAGTGACAGGAGTTTTGTAGCAGACTTTCATTTTAATATTTCATAAGGAGGTTATACATGCTCTAGAGAGTTAGACTACTACTACTACTCGTTTTTCTCATAAACAATTGGAAATTATCCTCAAGATTCTGCATACATTGTTTTTCCCCCAATCTAGTATCCAAAAATCTCAAAGCACTTTAAAGATTAAACTTCACAACACTCTTAACAGAAAATAAAAATATTTTCCTTTCAGCGATGCAGCAGTTGGAAGTAATTCACTCAAGGTCACAGAATCTAAGGATATGAGAAAAGAATCCACATATCATTTCTTAATTCTAATTCTTTCCCCTTTTAGGATGTTTTGTGTAAAAATATTATCAGAAGTGATAGACAATTTATAGTTATGCTATGAAAACAGATGAGTACAGTTCTGCACCAGAACCTTCCAATTTCTATTTTTCTCAGTCAATATACTGTAAGAATAGAACAAAGTGATTAGAAATAGGAAATGGAAAAAGTCAAGTAGAAAAATTTTCATAAAATACACCAATGTGTTCAAGACTGTGTGTTTCATCTCCCCCTAATACCCACACACACATAGAATATACAAAAGGAAGTCTTGTGCAAATAGGCAGGAAACGTCTCTGCAGCTGGGAGCAAAGTGGAGGAAGGCATATCAGCTGCAGTTTGAACAGATATCTGTCCATTCTGAGTGCTAAAATTTTCACCTTGTATTTACGTGTTTGTTGCTTTAGACCTTTGCTCAAATTGCTGAAGGAAATTCCTAGCAGTATCAATCCCTCCAGGAATGCCAAGCAAGTATGGACAATGAGCAAGGACATTCTAACTAGGAAACTGGTTCAAGTAAGCACTGCGATGGATCATTCTTCAGTTGAAGAGATCTCAGTGCCTCAGGTAACCACATAAGAAGTCAAACACACAGCGTATCAGATAGCATATTTCAGAATGGATTTCAGTCAGACTGTTTCTGGCAGATCTACGTTTTTATATTGTAAAATGCTTAACAAAACTCCTAAAACTCACACAGAATTAAATGCCAAGAGGACAATTCTGAAATTGAAGGAAAAGGTAACCTTTCTGCCACAAAACAGAACAGATTCAGCAGAGCATCAGAGAACACTGCATTAATGTTTAGTAGTCCTGACATGAAAATCCTCCTCGACCTCAAAGTTAGGTAAGGAGTTCATATCTATTCAGCTTCTTGTCACCAAGACCATTAAGAAAATGCTGCTGATTAATATCAAGTAACATATCATCTGCACTGTGAGCAGAATTAATCCATTTAAAATAACAAAGAACTATCATAGGCTATGTGCAAGCAATATACATTCCCTAATGTTTTCTAAGCAGAAAGCTTAGAAGTACCTTTAACAAACTTCATACCTGCTGGTTGGGAACCTACCCAGGTAAAAGCAAACTGGAATTCCATATAATTTATTTAACAACAGATCAAGAATGGCTCACGATTAGTGTTTTTCACCACAACAATTGTGAGGAGCAAGTTTTTGAAAGGTCTAATAATTCTTTTGCCTCCAAAAGTGGCTGGTACAAAAAAACAACAAAAAAAAAAAAACATGCACCAATTTTTCCTATCAAGTATACCACACAGTCTCACGTCTTTACTAATCTAGCAGCAATTGAATAGGTTTTATATTCTGTTATGATGAACACTTTCACATCCCAGATTGTTTCAGAAAAATAAATAAGTATGCCAAGAGGAAAAAGGAAAAAAAAAAGGGGCAAGCAAAACTACCACTGTCTTCTCGTTTCTCAAAAACGTGGATAGTTCAAACAAATTACACTTGAGAACACTTCCCATATCCTAGAGCCAAGACACTGCTTTAGCAGAAACCATTTTCCACTTCCTTTTAAAATGTATTTAATGCCTTCAAGTTTATTCTCCTGATTAAAAATTACATGGGAACTACCTTTCTAAGTCTGTGACACTACACTGGCAAAAAAAAAATATTGCATAGTGTTATGCTGCTCATGCTCAAGGGCTCTGTGAGCTCCAAATACTTTTAAAATGTTTAAGTTTAAACTGATTATAGTTATTTCTCCTCTAGAATAGAATTTCAAATGCTGATGTGCCTTAGACAATTTACAGTATTTTGGAACACACAGTAAAACTTTGCAGGACCAAAAGGAGTAAGAGAAGTTCCCAGTTGACAGCGACAACTGGTTTTCTTCCTGGCATACTGAGAATATGACTTCATCCTCCCCCTCTCTTTTGGAGGAAATGCAAAGGAAAGCACATGGAGGATAAGTAAGAAACTGGGCACTAACAATACAGAGTAAAACAATTTTGACCAGGAGTACTATGAAGGAAAGATATTCCAGACTAACATATGTTAAATTAAAATGTGTGTTCACCTGAAAGAAAATGCAATTATGGAAATAGCTCTGTTGTTTCGAACACTCCCTAGCATTCTGTGATTACACTTGATTCACTGTCTGCTTCAGCTGAGTTCCTCCAGAGCACGGAAAAAATGTATAACTCTCAGTCCTGTCACTAGCTTTTCTGGGACACAGGCAAAACATCATTTTCACAGAAGCTGAGAGCCCACAGTCCCTGTTAATTTCCATGAGAATTTTGGTTTCACAGCTCAACCTCTCTGCCATTATCACACCGAATGTTAACGAGGCATAAATATTCAGGGTAAACTGAATTACATTGAGATGATATTGGTTGAAGGGAACAATGTTTTGCTCTAAAGATTACTGCGGAGGTCCCTAAAGAACCAAAGAAGCATATATTTGAATTACTTGTGAAGGTAATAATAAATATTCACATTTTATATTTCTATGTTCACAGATTAAATGAACAAAAAGTGAGTTTTAATCACAGAATACTCTGATCATCTCCATCATCTCACTTCAGAGAAAAAGCTTCTTTAGAAAAATGCATAAAATTAATGTAGTATAAACCAGATGGCTTTAAAATTTAAAAGCTACTCCTTCAGGAAATTACTTTAGAAGAACTCTTTACTAACCTCAGCTACTCTTTCCAAAAGTGGCTCCAGCCAGTGTTCATTGCATTCACAGTGACTATCCAGGAAAGTAAGTACTTTTGCTTGTGCTGCATCTGCCCCTCTGACCCGGGAGCGCATCAAGCCTGAAAAGGAAAAAAAAAACCAACACAGAAACAGTTGAAGTAGGTTCTGGAAGAAAACAGTCAACAGCAGTAAGACAAATTATTGCATTTCAAGATAGTAATGAATTTAATTACTCTAACTCAAGACATAAACACACAAGTTTCATTTTAAAAAGAAAAGATGCCTGTTAACAATTCATAATAAAAAAGCCTACATCCTTAACTACTGCATCCAATTTTACAGGTTCTAATCTTATTTAAACAGAAGAATTGAAGTGCCTTTAAAAAAAAGCAGTCCACAAGGACAGCTGGGTCTGCAATACAGCAGATGTCATTAATAGTGATAAATGTTACCTAACATCAATAAGGAAAGCAATTTTTTTTTTTTTTGTCAGATATCCAGAATAGGATTTGATTTTAGTAGCACAACTGAAGGATTAGTGCTGAGTGAATGAAGAAGCCCTACCTCTATGACCGTATTGTAGAACTGAAGATCCTAACCATCTTTCCACACTCCTTCCACTTCCTACTTTAGAAGCCGTCAGGAATATCCTGTCCATTCTTCTGTCTGCTTCTTCCAGAAATAACTACACTTTGTTAATTCGTGTTTGAGAGCCTCTCTCCTTATCCCTTTCAACCACTTCTTTTCTACATTTTTTGTAGTTCTCTTCTCTTTGTTGTTGTAGTTATCTTTTATGTTCTGTTGTTTGTTTTGGTGGTTTCTTTTGGGGGGAGGGTCATTGCTGTTAGCACTTTTTTTTTTAGTTGTTGCTTATAAATCTCACCTTGAAAAGACTTCTTTAACAGAAAACTTCTGGTAAGAAATCAAAAGACTTCTCAACACCTCATTTACCCAGGTCCCTTCACTGATTTGCCCTGTTCCTTTCTTGCTTTTGCTCTTATTATTTGATCAGTGAATGACTTTACCATTCCTCCAAGTCCCTTGTAAGATTTATATGCACACCCTGGAACAACCCACTGTGTTCTTCAGTCAGAAGAAAGTGAGCTTGCTCTCTCCCCTTAGCAAACTTTCTGCCTGTTTTTCTCTATTACTCTTCAAAATTAACTGATTTCACTTACATTGATTTCTTAATTGAAAGAGTTCTTTAAAAAAAAAAACAAACACAAAAAACCTGAACAACCAAACGAGAAACTACCAACTACTTCTTTTCATCCTCTTCACAAAATAAAACTTGCAAAATGTCACTGCCAAAGAGAACAAAAACTTAAAGAGTAAATAGCTATAGAACAAGCTTGCTCTGTCCAACATTCAGCAACTCAACAGCTTCACGAAGATCCTTGTGCTCTCTTATCATAAGAGTACTTCAGTATTGTAGATATGCTCTGTGGTGATCCTGTGTCAGTGCTTTCTACTTTACCTGTTGTACATTTGCAGCTAATCAGATATACTTAGGTTCTCTCCTCAGCCTGAACCCTGGCACTTTTCCATGCAGCTACCTCACAAACCATTCCTCAAGCACAGTGTTAACATTTGTTCTACTTCTGCAGTTCCTCCTTCCAGAGTTTCTTATTTCAAACTTTTGTTTTCATAGAATCCAATGTCTTCCTCTACTTCAAAGAATGTGGATCATCGAGTTCTCTATAATCACATGGAGCAGTAAGACAGGAAGAGTCCAGAAAGTTCCCCTGGCCATAACCAGACTCTTCAAGATGGATGTGTTCCCATAGCAAACTGGTCCTACATATGAAACCTAAATCTACCATGACATATTTCTGAAAGAAAAGCAGTCAGTGACATCCCTGTCTGAGATACCAATGTAAGTCTTCATATAAAGACAATAAGCAAACTTAGCATTAAGCTCCATCACAACAATGTAGCAATCAAATGAAATCTGAAAATATTTTCATTAAAGAAAATTATCTGGCTGCATAAATGCATATCTAGGAAAAACTTCCTAACCAGCACAGTAGCTTTCATGCCTGATAACTTCATTCTAATCTCATAAAAACACCAAGAAAACTAGCACTGCACCTTCAATTTGAAAGCAGTTCTTTTCTGACAGTGCGATTTGTCAAATCATATCTTTTTCAGATATACTAGTGTTTATTTTGAAGTATGAATGAAAACTCTGTATGTATGGTACAGAATATTTATAGTACAGAAAAAAAAAAATCAAAGGGTTATTTCAGTCAGTTTTTCCTTTACTGCTATCATAATCTTCAAATGTTTCATTGGTTAGAAAGATGAGATTGGCTCTCTCAGAACCCCAAAACCATGGAAAGTCATAAAAGGCCTGCTTTCCTAACAAGCCTTTGTTTACAAGCATATTCCAAACAAATGCTTAAATACTAAGAATCCCCACTAAGTCATTACTTTAATTATGAGATAACACAGGTTTTGTGCACGCGACTTCCAGATTCTGGCAATCTAATGATTCTAGCTGCTCTCCAGTCTGTCAGCCTAGAAGATACAGTGCCTATAAAAACAAACAGTATTTTTGTCAGCTATTTCAACTGTCAGCTCCTAGTTACTATTTCAAACAGCTGTAGAATAACAGTTGCCTTTAATACTTTAAGCTACACAGCTGGGAAGCTGTGACTAAACAGCTCAGTGATATGAGGCCATAACGTACAAAGCAACAAAAAGGAAAAGGATGCAAGAAAAGCTGGCATACGTGGTCCCGGCCCTCCTGGCTGCTTAAACTCATGTTTGCCAAACAGTCTGACAGGCTGTCCATCAACTGAATCCTTAAAACCACTTCTCATAAGGGAACCAGCAAAGAGGGATATTTTTAAGCTGGATTTTTGCACACTTACATACAACTTACAGTGAGACCTTGCATACAGTTGGAGCAGCTTAACAGAGGATTCACTGGAGTGAGAAAAACAAGGGGCTGAGGATGAGAGGCAACGTATCAAGTTGTCACATGTGCAACTGCACACAACAACAGCAAGTTAATTAGAATTACTATTTTTAATCACAGAAATACAACAGCTTTTTTTCCTTCCACTTGTAAGGTGATTTATGAAACAAAAAATCCGCCCTTCCAATACAGAAAGTTCCTTTAAAAGACTTGATAAGCAGATAAGGCAACACAGCAGAATTTGTATCTTCCTTTTCCCAAATCAAGCCTACCTTCTCGGCGATCATTTCGAAGAACTCGCACTTTTTCAATTTTTCCCAATAGAGCACCATCATCAGCTTAAAAATAATAATAATAATTAAAGTGATCAAAACCAGTCTCATTTACCACAAGTATGTTTTTCTTCAAAAACAGAACAAAAACTTCATAGTGGAAAGCAATCATATTTACAAATAATTAAGAATCATGCTTAAAAAATGCCTGTTTGTTTCTCCAGAAATAAAGAAAAGTGACCAGGGTAAGAAATTACCACCATCATTATATTATTTAAAACTAATTTTATTTTACACTCAAAATATTTTTAATCAATTCTGCTCTTTTTGTTTACCTTGAGTAGTTTCTACATTTCATTAAGAAAAAAAAAAAAAAGATTAAAACTTGTGTCTTCTTTGCTTACAGGAAAGCTTTTAAGCAACATTAAGGTTTAAACTAACCTAAAGTATCAATCAGCATTGCAAATGTAGACATTGACTTCCATTAGAGTGTTACTCAGAGGTTCACTGTTCAAATTAACATTACAATATCCTAAAAGTTTTTAAATCTTGACTTTCTTTATTCACTAAGAATTTTCCAAAAGTGATGGAGAGCAGCAGCACTCCAAAGAAGTATTTTGTGCAAGTGCCATGGGTTTTATTTTTGCATCATAATGTACTAAGGGAAGGCTGTTTTCAACTCTAAACTCTGCTTCTTCTGCTAACAGGAAGTAATAAAATAGATCTGAAGTATTTTAGAACTCTTCATGCTTCCACAATGACAAACACAAAAGAATTAAGAGCTGGTTTAGAACCAGACTTTACAAATTCCCATTCATATGACTAACTCCCAACTGAGTCACCTACTTTCATTTATGGAAAGACTCAGCAAAATAAACAAAATAACATTTGGACACTATAAAAGTACTTACGATCATTACTGTAGTCATCCACTAGTATGATTTCCTTAATAAGATGTGATGGGCTTTTTTTAAGGACACTGAAACAGACAAAAAAGCATTCAATACAAAGCAGTTTCCATCTCACATAAGCAGTGCTTTTAATGACATTATTTGTTAAACTACAGTCTAATACAGTCCAGGATCCCATCTTTCTACAACAGCTATTAGCTTACTCAGTAAAGAGTTTGTGAAAAAAAGAGCACAGAGTTGTTCTTCCCTCAGATTTCCAGCCTCCAGAAATGAGTGAATTAGACAGTTTGGACAATGGAAGCTTTGCAGATATCCTCAGATAAAGTAGCCCCTGAAAAATCCATCTTCCACGTATTCTTCTTGAAACCATTTATACAACCAATCTCAAGATATCTTCTTGCAATTAATTTCACACTTTCACATGTTTGTAGTTAAGGGAAGCATTTTTGTCTGTTTAAGATCACTCTTTCAGGATGTAAGACCTGGAGGCATCAGTGAAATTAAGAGCCAGCTTCATCCTTTGTAAATGGTACAAGAAAAGCATAATGGATTGCTTTGGATGATGGATTTGCTACTTCTCTTTACCAAAAGCTATTCTAGCACAAGCAAAGTGCTTTTTGTGGGGAAAAAAAAAAAAATACAAAGTCATGGATTGTCTCCCAGGCATACCTGACAACAGTTCGAAGTAAAGCAGATCTTGCCTCATTATGAAAGGTGATCACCACACTAGTGGCTGGCAAATCTATCCGCCATTGTTTCCGTTGACACCTGAAAGACAAAAAGCCTGTCAATCTAACATTTACATTACAGTCTTAACAAACAGTCTTCATCAAAAAGCAGTTATCTACTAAATTGTGTACACACTGTACCTACCTACAAAGAATGATGTATCTTATTTTCAAACGAGACGATTTATAATCAGCTCCTCTTTTACCACTCTTGACACTCGTCTTTGTATACAACAGACTGAGCCAGGGTCAGATTTGGGTAGATAAACATTGCTGTACTACAATCGCCGTAGTTTACTGTACATACCTTTCATGCAACTGAGTATGAAACCAGAGTTCTATTTCACTTCAAGACCACTTATTAAGTCTAAGTAAATGAGCACATTAATAAAAAAGCAGAGGTTCACAAGCTGTACGTGTCTCCTTTAGAAAAGCACTCATCCACTTTCCCTTTTATTTTTAATACTGCATCCTAGTCTTGCTTGTACAAGTAACTTCTCATTAGCATAGAAAACTGTTTAAGATTGAGACTTACAATAGCCCATCTACACTAACTCATTTTTCGTGATCTCTTCAAATAATAAGCAAAAAAAACCCCAAAATTCTAAAAATACACCAACTCTTGTACATCTACGTAAAATTAAGCTACTTGAATACCTTGACAATAAACCTAAAAAAGGACTCGTTCTGCAATGAGAATAGCATACTAAAAATGGTGTAACAAAGAGTTTGTATTAAAATCATTGCTGTCTGACAAGTCAAGATCATAATCTTCATTCATAAGTAACATATGAGTGATGCATTTCTTCACATATGCTTTATCAAACATTTGGGGCACAACTCCAACAGACCTAAACATCTTCAGAGAGGGCAATCCCAGTTGAATTAGCATACACCTGTGGTGAAGTCACCAAGGAACTGTAATCTATGCAGTATGAATCAAGCTAGCTATTAAGGGAAGAAAGGAAAGTTGTATTACTACCCAAACTTCTAAAACAAGCCAAATGCTTGTATAAAAAAAACTGATGAAACAACTGTCACAAATCATAAATCACACAACCTTCAGCTTCAAGGAATTAAAGTGAGCAATCTGCTGCTTCTCCTTGTCCATGCTCCAGAATCCCAAGGAAGAATAGTGCTTTCAATGCAACACGCCCATAAGGTCATACAAATGTTTGCACTGGTAATGAAACAAAATGCTATTGTGCCACTGTGTTCTCACTGCCCTGAAGAAAAACAAAGCCTGTGCCAAACCTACAACTGCTCTGTGTCAGATTAGCAAGGCCTTATCTAGCTTTCTTCCTCCAGTGGTGGGTGTACAAGACAGCATTTCCACAAACACCCAAGTTGAAGCAATACATCACAAATACTAATGGAAAGTAAAGAATTAAAACCTCCTCTATCATGATCTTTTGGCAATTCATCTAAACAGCTGAGAGGAATTCAGCTATTACATACAAAAGCCTACAAAAGCTAAGAGAATTATCCTGTTTTCTGGTAATTTCCAAACTGCCCACACAAGATGAGCCTACTGTGCACACAGTTTCCCATGAAGCCCTGACACAGGCCAAGAAGCTTGGTCCTTTACTGATGAGCACTCAGAATTCAAACTTGAAATTTAATCTGCTGAAATGTTCCATTGAAACTTGCATCATAAGTCATGCTCAATAATTCAAAGCAACCCTAGAAGATCACAATTAAGCGTGACAAGAATTAATTGAATACTGTATCAATCCAATTTAGAATAAGGTCATGAAATTGAGTAAATTTAGTTCAAGTCTATTGCAAGCAAGTCATAATGCCAAATTAAATGCATTAGAATAATAATAATAATAAAAATAGTTATACTGTTCTCTTTGCATAAAAGAGCACATCTAAAGAGGTAATTAATCATGGCAATGAAGCCTGTTATTTAAAAAAAAAAAAAAAAACTCAGGAGAATAACACTACTACATATTTCAGAGGAAGAAAAGATTTTTAAACTCTCAAATAAAATGGGACGAATGCTTCAATTAAGCATTTCTCTTCTTTTTATGTTGGTGTCAATAATGCCACAGTTAAACTCAACAAACCAAAGAAACAATGCCATCAGTTTTGGGAAGCGTGATTTTCTTCCCTCGACTTACAGCACTTGAACTGAAAATATCAAACTAGACCTTCAATGCTTAGAAAAAATTATTAAAATTAATGAGAGACAGAAAGTATATTTTTTCCCCCAGAGTTTTGAATCAGAGCTAGCTCATATCATTAGCCAAATACTTGAAATCTCTGAGTTTTGTTGAAATCATCTTTTGGTAGAAAAATTCCCTTTAACCAAGGAGACATTCATTACAACAGATGATATCTGGGTACTAAAGAGACAAGAAAGTTTGCTTCTTATCTATTTAGAATGAAAATTTGAACATGAGTCCAGAGCCTGCTAATACCTGTAGAGTCAGGGGAAAAAAGGTTTAATCGAAATAAAGACATTACCAAAAACCACTGATCTGAACTGTGGGAGGCCCAAAAGAATGGAATATTCCACCCAGCTCCTACTCAGAAGACTATTTCACACTGACCAAAGGATGACTTTAGAGATTTCTGATGACTGTGACAGTCACCTCCTGAGTCTCCAAAATCCACCATGATCAGGTCAGCTCTCAGCCTGAGACATGTTATAACCAGACAGCAACATAAGAAACCCAGAGCTTTCTCAATCCTGTTGAAAGTGGTAGTGTCATGAGCATCACCTCATTTACATTCCTCCAGACCTTCTCACTACATTTCAGATGATCTATCAGTCTGTTTCTTGCTTTTCCCTTTTACTTAAACAATGGCAAGCAGCTTAAAGGGCCAAACCAAAATGTTTTCCCGTACTGCTGACAAGTTTTCACAAAATTATCAATTAGAAAACTTGTCTTGATGCTAGTATAAATTTCTTAGATACAGAAAAACCTAAACAATATAGTACAAAAAAAGAAATGCATTTACACATTCAACTGCTTCTAAACAACCTAGAGAATTTCAGCTCTTAAAAAGTATTATTATGTAGCTATTTCAGAGTCAAATAGCCTTTATAGACATCAATTAGTAAAGTTGCAAGTATAGAAACAAATATTTCCTCAGTTTTCCTGAAGAAAAATGTTGCAGCAATTCCAAAGGAAATATCAATCTTAACCCAGCTGCCTTCAATTTTTACTGAAAATAACATGCTTCCAAGTGTCAAATGCTCAGTTCTTTAACATATTCTTCCTCCTATGGCTATTACTCTTGCACTTTCCATTAGGCAGATATCAAACAAGTATTTAATGCAATGTTTTCAGCTTCTGCAGTTACTGTCCTTGCCAAAATAGAAGGAAAATTAATTGCAAGACAGCAAGGAAAGCACCATGAACAATTTGCAGAAATTACTGCTCGAGTAATTTCCTTTTCTTTAGAAAGATGACTATTTACAGATTGATGGGCACTTAAATCTGCTTCATAGCGAAGTCTAATAAGCCCAGCACAGATGCAGCCTTTCCCCAGGACTATCTCTCACACTGCCTTGCAAGGCTCTTTTCTAGGACCATTTAAAAAAAAAAAAAAAAACAAAATAAAAATGAAAAATAAAAATTAGCCAGGGAAGTCACATCACAAAGTCACAACAACCACAGCTACTGTAATATAATTTGTCTTCTGTCATCTCTCTTATCTAAGTTCTTCTCAACAAGAGATAGCATTTGTCTGTTAGAACCCCCTTAGAGAATATTTAATATCTAATTAAATATATAGAAAATTTCCAAACACAGCCTAAATTATGAAAGTTTACTTTTCAGGTCAACTAATGCCAGACTACAAGACTTGTCTTACATCATCTGCAATATTGCATGTTTAAAGGGAACACAAACCACACTATTATATAAGGGATTTAACATTACATAATAAATATCCACGTATTTTTATATTTTATTTATATTTTTTCTAAATACCTCCTCTGCTATACTGCTGCTTACTAGGGAGCATTATGAAGAAAAAAGTCACCTTCCTTTTCTCCCTCTGGCATCTCCTCTAGCTTCTTCTACACACAGCTGTGAATGTACACTCATCCTAGCTGCAGAATTAGGCAATTCAGCTACACACAGCTGGTTAATTTCATGCTTTGAGGCTGTACCTGCCTTGTTTTTAAAAGAAAATATTAATATTTGTAATTATGAAGTCCAACTTTTTTTTTTAAGTCACTGACATCATAATGAGCAACCTTCATTTTAATATTAATCAAATCTGCTTAAGCAAGGTTGGTCCAAATAACTTAATTTCCTTACCAAATGTCAGTCTCCTCCAAATGAGAAAAATGTTTTTATCTTGCTTTGAAGGATGCTAATTTGCTGATTCAGGAAGTAGTACAAGCAGAGAGACATGGCAAAAGCTTTCAAGCATCTGAAGTTTAAGTTTGGCCCTCAAATGGTACTGGTGCATGAGGTTATCTCTTCCCAAGGACTCTATGCTTCCTGCGTACCTGTCCCTCTCTCAGCTTTGTATCATCTGGAAACTTACTGAGATTGCACTCTGCCACACCATCTATGTTATTAATGAAAATATTAAGCAGTATTGGATTCAGTATTGACTCCTGCTCCACGCTGGTCACCCTCAAAAGTAGCTTCTTCTATATACCTGCTTATTCCACTCCATAGGTTCAGAGAAGCCACAAAGCCGCACCAACACACAGCAGGCTTCCATTCTCTCTCAGAAGCAGGTGAGATGAACTTCGTGGTTGGGGAAAAAAGAAAGCATCCTTTTGTTTACATAAATGTGGTCTATTAGATGGAATACCACATTCAACAACTGCCTACCTCACTCCTACAAGAAGAGGAAAACATCACCACAAATAACGAATGGTGATTCCTGCAACTCGGGGAAACAAATTTGTCATCATTCAGCAATCATTCCAGCATAATTCCAAGCTACACAACAATTCAACCTCTGGTATGAACTTTGAAGCCATAAACACAGAACAGTTTATATACCAGAAAAACATGTCAGATTCCCCTGACTTTGAAATAATGTAATAGCATGTGTTCACAGCACTATCTTGCCTACAGTTTCCCTCAGAAATGGGAAAATGGTTCAGCAACCAGCCCAGCTTTGTGGGAAAGACCTGCAAGCCACGTAAAAAACTGCGCCACATGTCTCTGGAGACTAGCAAGTATAGAAATACTGTTAGAGTTTCACTGCAGGAATACTGATGACAGCTGTGTTTATTGAGATTTCAATCACCAGAGTGAAGCTAAGACAGAACCCTTCACAAACATAGAAACCAAGAAAAGTCATCAGATAAATAGGGACAAAATGAGATTGAAATACAATGTCAGTCTTGATACCAAATACACACTGATGGAAGTTCTGGAAACAGGACAAACTTGAACAAGGAGCGGTCCTTGTTGAACAAGCAGCCCTGTGGAGAAGAACCTGGGGTTCTTGATAGATGAAAAACTTAACATGAGCCAGCAGCGTGCCCTTGCGACTCGGAAGGCAAATGGTATCCTAGGCTCCATCAGAAGAGGGCTGGCCAGCAGGGACAGGAAGGTGATTGTCCCCTTCTGCTCTTGTGAGGCCCCATCTGGAGTACTGTGTTCAGGCCTGAAGTCCCCAGTACAGGAAAGACAGTGAGCTGTTGGAGAGGGTCCAGAGGAGAGCCACAGAGATTATCAGAGGATTGGAGCACCTCCCCTATGAAGACAGGCTGAGGAAGCTGGGCTTGTTCAGCCTGGAGAAAAGAAGGCTGCGGGGTGACCTCAGTGCAGCTTTTCAATACTTAAAGGGAGCCTACAGAGGGGAGAGGAATCAACTCTTTGAAAGGGTTAATAACTGTAGGATGAGGGGAAATGGTTTTAAGTTGAGGAAAGGAAGATTTAGGTTGCATGTCAGGGAGAAATTCTTTACAGAGAAGAGTGGTGAGGTGCTGGAACAGGCTGCCCAGAGAGGTTGTGGATGCCCCGTCCCTGGGGGTGTTCAAGGCCAGACTGGATGGGGCTCTGGGCAGCCTGGTCTAATATTAAATGTGGAGGTTGGTGGCCCTGCATGTGGCAGGAGGGTTGGAGATTCGTGATCCTTGAGGTCCCTTCCAACCCCGGCCATTCTGTGATTCTGTGAAGATTCATTGTCCTTTACTCCTTTGTTTAAGGATTGCAGCACAGTTTATTGTTCCTTACTGAAAGTTGGAGAACTTCTGCTATAGGAAAACAGCACTCTGCTCAAAATAAGCAAACAAAAAGGCTAATCCAAGCCAAACACGGCTCAGTTGGGAACTTACTGATCATGTCTCGTGTCAGGAATGTTTCGGTCCATTCGTAGTTTGTCACTTTCTACCTGATTGAACTTATTGCGAGCATATGGATCCTGACCAGATCGCACCATGGTAGCGCTAACATAAGCATCTTGATCAAAGTCTTGCCACCGAACTTTGCCTACAAGAGAAAAACAGGAACATATTCGGCTTAACCTCTGCAACTTCAAGAGAATTCAGAAATCCAAATATAACTAATCTTATTTTGCAATGAAGTAATTAAGCCCCACAGTATTTTTAACAGTGTAGCGTCACACTCACTTTTGCACATTAAGCTGCTCCAGAACACCCTGTGAATTAATGAAATTGAACCATTTCACAGCTCTCAGTTCACACAACTAATCATCAGATGGCCATGCATCATCTTATCTGCTATTTTGTTGGTTTTGCCCCTACAACCACAACTTCAATTTAAAATATAATTTAATATATTCCAAATTTTCATACACTTTAACAGAGTAGATCTTTTTGAAGGCCCAGGCTTCAAAGACATTCTAATTTAATTTACTACTGTCACATTATTCAAACAGAAACCAAACGATTCGAGAAACAGGGCTTTTAGAAGTATAAGAGGACATTATTCTTAAAAGCTAGCATTTCAGGTAGGCAGAGCACCACACAGCTCTCCAATGCTAATTACATGACATAACTGCAACCTTCTTCACATTAAAAAGGAATCACAGATTAATTACTCTTTAATAAAGAAAATATTATTTATGTAACTGATTGCAGCACTTGAACTCGTATACATAAAACTGAAAGGCAGATTAACATTTATCATCCAGGAACAAAATTTCAGAATGTTCATCTTCAGCTGTAAAACAGTTTAATATCAAATGTATCAAAGGTCTAATTTCTCACTTCTGATTCAACACTTTCTTTTTGTACTGACAGTCAAACTTCTGTCACCTACAGCAAATTTATACCAGCTGTAACTAAAGAAAGAAAGTTACAGAGCTGACATTCTAATATAATATACTTAAGATCAGCTTTTAGGCAAATACAAAAGTTCAGGCATATCCTACAGTATACCAATACACACAAAAGGAATACTATTACAACAACTATTAATGAGAGCTAGAGATTGCTCAGACATTTCAATGTTTACCTTTCTTCCTTCTCTCAATTTGTGAAGCACAGAAACTAAGGTGTTCCTCATTTAAAGCTTTCATCCATAAAACATGCTTTAATTATCTTATGTGAACTTCTGTTAGGAGATCCCAATATTGAAAGCAAACTTCTATTTCAATGCAATTAAATATTATAATTGCTTGTTGCTTACCTAAAACCTAAATTGAGCAGGTTGGTAATTTCAATCTTAGGTGTGAGTTTTAGGGCAACCTACACTGACAGCTAATAATGATAATAAATCCAACAGTAAGTGAACTGCAGAGTTTGCTATTTGAGTTAAATAAAGCCAAAAATCACTCAGTTGGTTAGGTATCTGGAACCAAACAAATACTGAACTTGCATTTGACAAGTGCTTATTTTACAGATGCAAAGGTTAGATGTTCTTCAGTTTTAAGGTGATCACTAGTACAACTATTCTGAGACTGAGAAGCTGAGCAAAGGTAAGAAGAAAAAGAAGTGAAATATAGTGAGGCTGCTTTTCATCTACAGACAGAAACAGTTATTTCCCAACTCTAAGGTCTTGGAGGAGGTAATCAACTGAAATAGTGCAATATATATTTATTTTTTAAACACACCGGGTGGTTTTAAACAGGACTTTTTTTTTTTCTTTCTTTCTTTTTTTTTTTTTTAAACTCTGAAACAATAAGTAGCTCTATTTAAAAAAAAAAAAAAAAAAAAAAAAAAAAAAAAAGAGTGGATTTGTTGTGGGAAAGAAGTCAAGAAGGTAGTCCATTTCACAGTGCTAAATTTAGTGAAAAGCAGTGCCAGCCCATAGAATAAAAAGACAAGTGAATCTGGCTTCAGAAGGCAGGAGGCAGGCAAAGCCTGGCTCTGGCTCCAACAGAAGATCCTGTCAACTGTGTAGAATATACATCAGATCCATTAGGGAAAAACTCAGATAACAGCAAAAGCAGCTTGAAGTCAGACAGAAGGGAAAAAAGCACAGCAGATAAATTTGTGTGCAACCAAGCAGCAGACCTCAAAGTGTAGGAATGGATAGACACAGAATTCTACAAATAGCTTGCTCTCCCTCTTCCTGACTCAGAGGAGCTTAAAAGCAGTAGGATACCTAGTATAAATATGATCATTTTGACTAAGAGACATTAAGAGATTTGTTAACTAACAGAAGCAGCTAGCTGACTAACTGTTGAAACTCTTATCATTGCCTGTTCAAAGCTCAAAAAGGCATTTAAAAAGAACCGGCCATATAGTTTTGGTTTTGCTACTTATGCAGAGAGTTCAGGGTCAGACAGTCTTACTACAAAAGCTGATGTCACTATTTGCACAAAACACGAAATACAAATTCACAACACAAATAAATCATAAAATGACAAAAGAGTAATATACTTGGTTGTATGGGAAGTAGTATAAAAGGTTTAACTACCATTTTTCTAAATAATCTTTAAAAACAGCAAATAATTTCTTATTTTGTATAAATCTTGAAAGACATCATATTGCATAATAGTGAAACCTAAATTACAGGTCCTCTAACCTCAGTGGAAAAAGCAAGGCAGTTTTGAACCAAACCTCTCCTGGAATTTGATCATTTTGTTTTGAAACACCCCAAAAGTATCTGCAGAAGTATGAATTCCATTTGAATTCAAAAGTCGCCTACTCAAATAAACAAAATAGCGATTTGAGAGAGCAAAATTCTGAGTAGCCTTTGATATTTGACTTGAGATTCATGCTGTCTTGCAGTAATGATTATCCTGCCTGTTAAATCAAGTCTTAAAGAGACTGCTAATCAATGGATTAAAAAGGAGTTCTGACCTGTCCTACTTTACATCTAATTTTGCTTCTAACCTTCCAGGTTCTGATCTCTCTCCCTTCTGACCTGTAATACTTCCCACCTCTTAATACTTAAACAGCTACTTTGGGCAACATAGAAAGGAAGACCTCTGAAGACATAGATGGGGTTTGGCTCAGAATACATAAATATTCAATATTTAAGAATATTGATTTTTTTAAGTCTTATTTTCCAGGTAAATATTAGCAGAAAGAAGAATTCTAGTTGGAAGATATGCACTGGCTGACCTGTAATTCCAGTATCAGGAAAAAATATTCCTTCAACTTGCAGAGATTTCTGTTCAAGAAAAAGTACTTGGAAAAATCTGCCAGAAACCAAGCTGGGTTGGAAAAAAATTGCCAAAAAGCATATATACATAACCAGAGCCTCATTTCCCCTCTCCAGAAAGCAATAAGACAAAGCAATCCAAAGGCTGCAGGAATAAAACGCCATGAATTTTAAACAGCTTATCCAGTGAAAGGGTTTTATGACTATAAAAAAAGAATCACACGTCACATTACTGGGCATGGAAGTTCCCAGTTGCTTAGAAGGAAGTTTACTTCAATTAGGTCTTTCCTCCAGATCTCAAACAAATTCAAATGTTTCTCTTATTTATAGCTAAGAAAAATAAGGATTAACTGTAGAATAAAAAAAAATTTGTGAAGCAATCTGATCAGAAGGTGTCATCTTTGTAAAGTTCTTGAATACAGCGTCAAATATTTAAATCCATTTCAGCTCTTCTGCACTCCTTGCTATAGCAATTCTAGTTAAACATTAAATCTCATTGATGTGAAGCAGGTAAGAGGCAGAAGAATTTTTATAGCAGTCACATCAAATGAAGGTTCTGTAACATTTAACTATCCCATCTCATCTTCAAGTTATGACTCTACTTCTTTCAAATATCTAGTCATACGGCGCTGTTTCTTTGCGAATATGTGGCAAATACTCAGGAAGAATAAGGAAAAATTAGAATCATAGAATCATAGAATCATAGAATCACTAAGGTTGGAAAAGACCTAAAAGATCACCCAGTCCAACCGTTCACCTATTCCCAATAGCTCCTACTAAACCATGTCCCTCAACACAACATCCAGTCTTTCCTTGAACACCCCCAGGGTCGGTGATTCCACCACCTCCCTGGGCAGTCCATTCCAGTGCCTGACCACCCTTTCTGAAAAGTAATACTTCCTCATGTCCAAATAACAAATAAGGCACACCATCAGCATGCTCAAAAAAGAAAACACCTACTACTTCATACCTTTGCCACAAAAGCTACACAAAGGTAAAAAAAAAAAAAAAAAAAAAAAGCCAGAACCTTGATTGAATTTTCAGTCAGAAGTATAGCTCCAAGGTGTCTTGTCTGTTGCCTGTCAACACTGTCCACAGAGAAATGGACAACTTTTCTGTTAGATGCTTTAACAGCAGCATAAACCTATTGCAAGGCGACATAAATGTACTAGCAAAGAGTAATTTTCTTCCTACGATTTTAAGCCCAAAGTAATAGTGAGGCAGGTAAGAGGAAGGTGAAGCCTTAAGAACAGAGATACATGCTAATCCTATCACTTCCAAACTACAAAGAATTGTTAGAATCAGAAGAACTGGTTTGCTTTATGGCTATCAAGTAGTTGCATCTATGCCTAGGGATCTTTCATCACAAACTTTACTGCAATACCTGGAGGCAATGTCTCCACACTTTGTGCTTTGTCCTCACCATCATTGACATGCAAGTCTTTCCTTTTGGCATCGATGTCATTTGGGTCCTCCTGAAAAACAAAGTATACCAGTTAGGAATATTATGTTAAAGATTATTTAATTTTGCGTTGTCAAACAACACAGCAGTAACCAAGCTTATTTAGTAGTCTAGCTAACTCAGCTTATTTAGTAGTCCAAGAGATACAACTTCAGATTTTGGAAGATAAAAGATAATCATTTCCTCTACTGCTTAAAAAAAAAATAATGAAGAAATCAACAAAATGTTGATGCAGACTTCTGCATTTAATTTACACAACAATGCTTTCTGGGAGAAAGTAAGAATTAAGAAGTAAAAATAGAATAAAAACATTTTGACCAGAAATACTCAAATATGCAGGGCAGGTAGAAATTAAATGAAACATGAAGAAAGCACTTCTCCAATAAGGAATAACACAACTATGAAAGTTACTTGAAAAAGAAGTCAGATTACTTTGCAATAATATCCCAAGTGACAGTTTTCTGACAGACCAAAAAAGCCTCCTAAATTGTTACTCACAAGTTATTATTTTCATGTTCTTTTGAGATCATTCTGGGTTTCACAGGTAACTGATGGATTTGTTATTACAGAAATATGGATAATACCCATTTAGAGAAACCAAACAAGCAAACAAACAAACAAAACCACTAAGATTTTCTCCTCGCGTCTCTCCAAATTCCAAATTTATTCTCAAAGTCTTATTTTCCTTTCAACAGGGAAAAGAAACAACCTCATACCCTTACTTCATTATTGTAAAAATACAACAGGAACATGGAATTGAGATTCATATCGTATTACATACTTGGATGAAGTGGAGAAGAGTGTAAATTTAAAAAAAGAAGATAATTACTAACAGTATGCTGATTCTCACACTAAGACAACTGATTTCAGAGCCAGCTGCTTTTGCCGCTCTCAGACACTTAAAAGAAATTTTGTTGCCCTTTCTACATCTCCATCAAAGAAGTTCTAATTACAAGCTCTGGTTTTTGGGGGGCAACCCCACTAAAGGCAACATCTTTCCTATGAACAGCAGAACTGTTTGTACCTCTTCTAGTAATCTGCCCAAGCCTCCCCAGTAAGGTGATGGTATGCAAGTTGCCTACTGCAAGTGGACTCAGCTATGGCTATTGCCATTCCTAAGCTGTATCTGGTACTTCTTTAGAATAATAAGTGGATGGAATGAGCCAAATTCATTTTGGAAAACATTTAAACCAGAAATGATAGCTTTTCAGCACGTCCCCAGGCACAAACACTGAACTTCCCAATGTAAACTCAGCTTAACTGTCTATATTAAGTAAGAACTAATAACTGGAGATTTGAATGTAATGTCTCATATTCCTAAAACACCAAAATGCAAAACTCAATGTTGATGTTTTATTGTTAGCAATCATTTCTAGAGAAGCAGTTATATAAACACTGAAGTTAAAACCGAAATGCTATCAATGCATGTTTTTCACAGAATCATGTATCGAGGATATCAGAGAGGGAATTTGTCCAGGTTCTTATACTAAATTCACCATGCAGTCTATGCTTTGAGCTACAAAGCCTTGAGAATGACACTTAAAAAAACAACTGTAAGGCAATAAGAAAACGCATGTTGAGAGAATTATCGTTGCTCATGGAGGTGAATGAAAGTATATTTCAATGTGCCTTAAGCCCCAGCAGCACAGTGAAGGAAAAGCTGTCCTTGGTTCTAGAAAGTCTAGATTTTACTACTTGGTTCTTTTTAAAGATAGCAACACTTTATGAATAACTACAAATATCAACTGTAGGTGGTAGAAGATCTTCCCAACACAAGAATGTCAAGTTCTGCAGAAATTCTACCAGGCTCTTCACTGTCCCATGAGACCAAGACAAAAATATGTTAATTGAAAAATAAAAGCAAAACATCAATAAAGCATCCAAAAGAAACTGGAGGGATTTTTCATTAAGTTAACAAAAGGTGCTGAGTGCCTTCTCATTCTTTCTTCTTCCACCCTCACACCTTTCAAGTCTTTAAGGAAAAGCACTGCCATTCCTACTGAGTTTAACAGCATAGGAGCATGAGTCATTAGGCACGATTATATATTATTTCCCCTTGTTTTCCCAACCACCTCCCCAATTAAATTACAAAGGACAAAAGTTAGACTTAGAAAAGTTGAACGCAATTTTGAATACTTTTGAATGAGAGACTTGTACCCAGCTATTTGGGTGCAACCTACAGAAATTCTCGGGCACACCACACTGAAAGGATGGAAGTTCCCAACACAGATTGCTGGATATTCAATCTCCCTCCCAGAGCTCCCTATCGAACAGAACAGGGACAGCAGAGTATGGGATATCGACCTCTAACCTGTGTGCCTTAATTAAGATATTGTGGTATTTTTCTTCTCCAAAAGAAGTCTATTTTAATGATGTTCTATTTTAACCACCAACTTTCAGCCAATAAAGCATTTTGAAGATATCTGTAGACATCCAATGCCTTTAAAGGGGAAAAAAAATACATTATATCCTCTAGAGAAAACTCAAAGTGCACGAAAGGGAAAGAAAGCAGACATTAATGCCACACAGATATAAATACACCAGGATCAACCACTTTCTTTGGATCTCTAACTGTAAATTGTTTCACCATGTTAATTTGGAGCAACACAAACAAAGCATATGGTCAGATAACATTCCTATGTTGTCATCATCACAGGAAAGCGTTGCCTTTTCAGCTTGCTTACAGTGAAAAAAAATACCCATTTCTAATGTAATCTTAAAAAGCTTTTTGCATTTGATGAATAATCTTAGCAGATCATTGCAATTCTTGTACTAACAAATTTCATTCACATAAAAAGCTAAGCTTAAGATTGAAACAACCAGAACTGCTCAATGAGAGGCATAGTTCCAAGCTCTGATGATGAAAGAGATTTAATGAGCAAAATAAGAAAAAGGCTAATGCTATAACAGTATTAACACTATTAATATTTAACAGTTCATGATACTATTTTTCTGGTGTACTAAAAAAGCTGACAACATCAAGCTGTCAATTGTAGCCATTTTTGATTTGGACAAGTATTTTAAGCTTGCTGAAAAAATTGAAAGGTAGCTAGCCAAACATAACAGGTTATAACAGGTGCTAACCAAACATAAGATGCATGTGCAACACCACTACAGTAATATTTGTGGTCCTCCCTTGTGATGTTACTTTCTTAGGTCAGGATACATAAAAGCTACAGCAGTGCTTTCAACTGTAATGCAGGTGTGGGGATTTTGCATATTCTGAATTTTATTTATTTTTGCACATCACAGCTTTCCACTATTCTTGATTTATCAGATGATCTACAAAGAGACAAAATTGCAAGCTTTCAACTCCATTCAGAGAGAAATCTTACAGAAAAACTGTAGTAATATTACGATGTACCAAACAAAACTAACTGAACTGTATTTAAACTTCAAACTCAATTACACTTCCGTTACCCCAAAAGCTCAGAAGCTAAAACAATGTACACTTATCAATTTGTTAAAACACTCCTTGCAAATCAGAATCACAATAGATTTTTTTCCACTGCAAATTCAAATAAACTGATATCTTCACCAGCTACCCAACTCTGCTTTTCATTTATAATTTAGTAATATTTCAGCAAAAAGGAAAGTGCTTACTTCTCAGATTTAATGTGTAGGTCACTAAGTAATGCCTTCTATTTATTTTTATTTAGCTACAAAGAGCGCAATTATGCTATTTGACAGAGGAAATTCTCAGCTGCAAGACATTATTTTTCAACATAGTCACCACCAGTAGCTTGCATTTTCACCAGAGCCTGCATGCTGTGCTCCTGACAACCTGCACCAGTGGACATTGTCACCACTGCTGAAGCGCACCATCCACTGCCTCACCATGATCATGTCCACTCTGTGGTCTCCAGAAACATTCAACATGCATCAAATGAATGCCAGCAGGTGCCATTTTTTCCTCATGGAGTAACTCAATTACACACTTTTGCCTCATCAACACTTTCACATTAGATGCCATTTTGTCAGATTGCCCCTTAGCAGCCATCTCTCACACAGCAACTAAATGTAACAGAATACTGGTGGGAAGGTTCAGCCTCTACTGCCACCAACATCTACGTCTGACATCATGGGCTGACACCATAGGTGGGAGGCATTACTTCCAGAGCAGCCTTCGCATAGCTCAGAGTAGATTGCACTATAGGTAGAATTAAATGTATGAGCAGTTTTTGTTGTTTGGGTGTGTTGTTTGTTGTTTGGGGGGTTTTTTTGTTTTTGTTTTTTTAAGGCTGATTAATCCCTAAAGTACAGCAACTTTGTATTTCAGAAAATGTTAAAATGTCTCTACACCTGAAAAAGCATATGTTAGTTCATAAGCCTTGCAATTGCCCTTTTTCTTCTCCTGCTCAACTCATCTACTCCGTTAAGACAACATGGTAGATTCAGGCTGAGATAAGAAAAATGGTGCAGGAGGAGATTTCAGCTTCAGGATTCAGACTCTCAGCTAATTTCTACAGAGTTTTTTTTTTTTTTTTAAAAAAAAAAAAACCTTCATCAAATGATTAGTTACACATTTAAGAGTGCATTGAGTGGTGGGTGGGAAAGGAGGATGAGGCACTTAATAAAAATTCTAAGAAAGATTCAAACTCATTTTTACAGCATTTCTACACATCTACTGCAAGATGTCATCATTTGCAGCAAGAAATGTAAGATAAGTGCCATTTCAGTTTAGAAAGCTGTAATTACACACAGACATACGTTATTGGATCATTTCATTAGCATTACTTAGATCATCCAGACTGCCTCCCCTTCTGGTTTGGGTATATTTATTTGCATCTACTGCTATACTCCTTAGAAGTGTTTCAAAGCAATTAGTGTTTCACTGATTGTTATTTCACTTGGCACAAAAAAGACATTAAACTAATCCAAATCCCTAGGTACTACTGCTCTATACATGTACTACTGTTTTTCCTATTTACGTCTTTTTCTTTTTTAAACTCACATTTTGAGTGCCATGGATCTGACATTTAGCTGTGATGTATTAGACTTCATTATAGGATT